ATTTTTGCGGCGGTAGCAGCGTGCTTGCTGGTAGCGGGCCGCGGGCAGGTGGGAAGGCCTCCTAGGGCCGGGGCTTGGGGACCTCTGATCTAGAACATACACAGTATTGTCGGCGATAACTCTGCTACACATACGTTATTACAGTCATAAAGCGCGCGTGTGAGTGTGAGTGTGAGTGAGTGAGTGAGTGTGAGTGAGTGAGTGAGTGAGTGAGTGAGTGAGTGAGTGAGTGAGTGAGTGAGTGAGCGTGCGTGCGTGCGTGTGTGCGTGCTTGTGTGCGTGAGTGAGTGAGTGAGTGAGTGAGTCAGTGGGTGAGTGAGCGGGTGAGTGAGTGGGTGGATGCGTGCGTGTGTGTTTCCTTTCTTTATTTTAGATTGGCACAAGTTTGAGAAAGAGTCAAATGACGACCGAACTTCCGAACTTCTTCTTTTCATTTAACATCAGCTTTAGACTGACCGCAAACCAAGGAGACGCATGTTCCCATCGAACTGAGGTTGAAGGAACAAATGTCTGTAGTAATTGCATGAATGTGCTTTTTTACCCATATTGAATTAACCTGAGACTGGGGTAGAGAAGAAACATCAAAACGTAGAAGGAAAAGAAAATAGACAGGACGACGTCTCAATTTTTTTTCGAAGCCCGTTTTCGCTCACGAACCTTTCGTGGAGTTGAAGTTCCTCCCGCCCCTTTCCACTTCAGCGGAGCGAACGGTGGAGAGATGGTCGCCTTTTCTCCGGAGTTCGCTCTACTGAAGTGGAAAGAGGTGGGAGGAGCTTCCACTTCGTTCTTGACTAGTGTCACTATATGAAGCGGAGCTTTATACAGTGGCTCTATTCTTGATCTGTCACCGACAAAGTACATCTCGCCCACCACCCCCCCCCCCCCCCTTTTTTTTTTTTTTTAAGCAAAGTTGCGGCGAGGCTGACGTTGTCAGGATGCCCTTGCCGTACCAGCCACCGAAGCGGTCGAAGCACGCCAGCCATCGGGTCACCGCAACTAACCGCAACTTTGCTTTTGTGTGAATTTTGAGTGACGGGTTAATCTATAATCTTGTAGAGGGAGAAGAGTGACGTCTGGGAAACACAAAAAAGAGTCCCGTTGAGTGGCGAGTTCCCCCCTCCACTCTTCTCTTGTGCTGGCCATAAGCTGTCGGGGTGACGTCAGGTTCAAAGCATCGCATACTTTTGACCACCATGTAAGAGGAGGAAAGGGAAGCTGCTTTTGTAAGAATTTTGAGTGACGGGTTAATATTCTATAATCTTCTGAGAAGAATGGCGACGCCTGTGCAAATCCGGGAGGCAGAAAAGAGGGTCCTGATAAGAGGGGAGCTCCTTCTTGCCCTCTTCTCTGGTGGTCATCGCAGCGCTCATTGAATGACGTCACGTCCAACCCATCTGTAGTTCTTGGTGAAACAGTTGGATGGATAGATGGATGAATATTGGCTGTTCCCTTTGTAACGGCTGGCAGCTTGCGCCGTCACTACCTGTCAAGGTTCCTAGACGGGCATTACAAATGAGGCTTTAACGACATCCACCAGGTGCTCTTTGCTAATCGTTTAATTTGTTTTGAAATACCTTTTCGTGTCTTTTTTAACAAGGTATTGGTGTGTCCGATGTGATACTGCTCCTTGAGCACGTATAGACGAAAATGTAAGTGCCGAAATTTCGTTTTAGTACCCCTTTAGCAGCGCCTAACATTCCTCCGTGGGGTATCGAATTGTACAGATCTTCAAGATCGAAGGATAACGCGTGACAGGAGCGTGGATTGTTCTCTTTTCCACGTTTCTACAACAGATTACGAACTATCCACTCTAAACGGATCGTGCAACTTCAAAACATTCAGGTGTCGTTGAAGAAAGGATGCCGTGTGAATCTGCCATGACCCTTTTTGAGAAACCATCGCCGGAAATGGCATGGAATCCGAGTCTCGCCCAACGAGGTTCTTGCCCAAAAGCTGTTTCGTGAATGCCCAGAATTTTATTTTAAAAGAACACTGCATCTTCCTGACATATATATATATATATATAACAAGGTGTTTCAGAGAACGCAGGCCAAACCGCTCCTGCGGAAACTACTCATCGCAACGAAAAAAGGCTTGTGGCGTTGTGGTCCTGGGCCAGGGGCCCGGCCCATTTAAGATAAATATTAAAGTCCGGGATAATTAAGTTGTTAATGTTTTTAGCCTAATTAGCTTTTTTAATATTGTGTTTAAGGGCATGGTTTAAATTAGAAAATTGCTCAGCATCACCGAAAACCACTAAACCAACAAATTGCAGAACGATAGAAGGCACGCGAAGCATTTTACGGCTTTCTGAAAAACCGCACAAATTCGACGGGTTTTTAAGTTTCGGTTTGTTATCGGAGCGCATCTCGGCCCGGCAGCACCGCGCCCCATGTAGAGATAGTGCAACCAGACTGCTGCGTCGAGCGATGACAGCGCAGCAGAGGTTGGTTGCACTATCTCTTCGCGGGCCGCGGTGCCGTCGGGGCGGAGATGCGCTCCGGTAACAAACCGAAACTTAAACACCCGTCGAATTTGTGCGGTTTTTCGGAAAGCCGTAAAATGCTTCGCGTGCCTTCTATCGTTCTGCAATTTGTTGATTTACTGTTTAATGATGATGCTGAGCAATTTTCTAATTGAAATCATGCCCTTAAACACAATATTAGGGAGTTGTAGTAGATCGTTTTTCTCCTCCGCTACGTTATCCCCGAAGAAAACGCCGCAGCTGCGCATGCGCGCCGTCAGCCTTCCCTGCATAGTTCAAGGTCTTTTGGCGGATTACGGAGCGCTATCCGGGTGCTTAGCGGTCTGCGGGAACGGTCTACTACAATTCCCTATTAAAAAATTTATATTACGCAAAAATAATTAACAAGTTAATTATCCCGGACTTCAATCATTTTCGTAAATAGGCCCCTGGCCCACGACCAAAACGACACAAGCCTTTTTTTTGTTGCGATGAATAGTTTTCGCAGAAGTGATTCGGCCCGAGTTCTCTGAAACACCCTGTATATATATATATATATACTTAAACGTGTCACAGAAATAATTTTTCTAAAATATTTTCGAACAATTTACGTCGCGAGGCACATTCCCACGTAGCACGAAAACGTTCTGAGAACATTCCGGGAATGTTCAAAATAACATAGACAACATTCTTGGAATGTTGAAGATTTACGTAAGAACATTCTATCAATGTTGTCAGAATGTGGCGCAGGCACTTATCGCTACATTCGGAGAATGTCTTCAAAGGGATATTCTTAGAACGTTCTGAGAACGACATAGAACATTACCAGGTCATTCAATCAACATTGAAACATCCTAACAAGGTTCTAAGAACGTTCTCAGAACATCCAAGGAACTTCTGCAACATTCTCTGAATGTTGCAAATTTACGTAAGAACATTCTATCGACGTTGTCAGAATGTGGCGCAGGCACTTACCGCTACATTCGGGGAATGTTTTCTAGGTGATATTTTTAGAACATTCTGAGCACGACTAACAAGGTTTTAAGAACGTTCCCAAAACATCCGAAGAACGTCTGCAACATTCTTTGAGGAATGTTTACAAAGATTCTATAATTATAGCTTGCTTACCTTACAGCCCCACTGAGCCGTACTACATATATTGTTGTAATAAATCTCAAAGCGATCAATATTTTTTAATCTAAATATATTTTTTCTAGGCCTAGCACAACCTAGACGGCTTTACCAGCGCATTAGCCACAGCCTGTGCTATAACGGCAGTTTACTACTACTTATCATACGTGCGGCATACATAACCGATTACTCACTCGGAGCATAAGAACAGATACCTACGGCATCCCACACTCAAGCGGGACATACCTTCTTCAAGGTATTAAATCGGAGATGCTAAAAATCGGGTCTATTCAAAACTGCCCCTCTACATACGCAGTGAGTGCCAAACTCATTATCAAATTTTGAAGACCATTGCTTTTCTCCTACACCTTATCTCACATTCCTCGGTACACTCGTACAAGATAAAACTGATCCCTTATGCTAAGTTTCCAAAACCTCCACTTAATTTGCATATTTTTGGCACAAAGTGGCATATAGTGGATGGTGTTTCGAAACACAGGTTGCCTGAAAGCTCCGTAAAGTTGGCTTCACCTGCGAAAATTCTAGGAATGTTCGGAAGCGAACGTTCTAAGAATGTTGCACATATGAATGTTCAAAGGGGAACGTTCCGAGAACATTGTGCATACGAATGTTCGCCAACAAACGTTTTTAGAATGTTGAGCAGCATACCTTGTAAGGAATGTTCGCATACAAACGTTCCTAGAACGTTCCGAATGGTGTTTAACGTTCCTTCAACATTCAGAACACCCAGGGAATGTTCGCACGACATTGGATGCTACGTGGGTTCTGGTAAGAAGCTATTTTGAAGCATACGTCGATTGTCGAATCTCTTCACACTTAGCGTGCGACGCCGTCAAAGCTACTGGCGAGAGCATGAGGCTTGATCTGGTTGATCGTTTGCACGCGTGCTCGCGCTCACGACAGTAGCTTTGATAGGATTGCAGTATAGAGACACTGAACACACAAAAAATATTATTACGTTCTATAGTTTACAGATGTTTCTTTTCCTTCGGAAACGTCACGAGACTCAAAATTAGTCTCGCGACGTGTGACGTAAATATTGTGCTAAACTTTTGGTATGTTAAAATACCTGAGGGCTCATCCTAACGTTGGCTCATCCTCAGGGCTGTCACCTCAGGGCTCAGTGCTGTCACCTCAAAATACCTCAGGGCTGTCACTCCTGAGGGCTCACGCAGAAATATATGAGGAGCAATCCACCATCGTAAGATTTTAGGAAGAAAGCACGATAATTGAAACGCCAAACGAAATTTGAAATTTGCTCTAAGCTTTGTGCTTTTATTGTTTGATCGTTTGTTTTTTTCCCGAAACCGAATGTGAATTTTAAACCGCCGACCGAAGTTTCGATTTCTGGATTGTTTCGGACGCGTCAGCTGTCAACACTGACGACAGATGTAAATCCAAAATGGCTGCCGAAGTGCTAATTAAGAAGGGGAAAAGAGGAGCGGCTGCTTATTTTCAATCGGAATGTGCGAGAACGACCAACCCGAAGCAGCTTAACGAGTTATTGGACATTATTCTGGATCCTCGAAAGCCCATCGACATATGGGACACGATAGACTGGTGCAAATGGCTCATGGCAGGGGGCAAGACGCCCGACGAATTCTCCCAGACAGGTGAGCGCTGCGTGGAATTTCAAATTTCCCATCGAATTTAGAGCCGATTTCTTCGCGTGCATGCTGCAAGGAACCTCTAGGGGCGTCTACTTATTATTTCTGTCAATTTCACAACGCCGTTCTCGACATGGCGGTGTGGTTGCGATACTGCTACGATCGTGCCAACCTTGCGATGCTTTTGATCGAGTCGCCAGTGATGATTCGTTTTTTCTCGCGCGTTTGTTCGTTTGCACTGTTCCGAAACAACTTGGACAATATGAACAAGCTAGATATAATCGTGTGACTTGTCTCTAAGCCGTTCCAACGTCTCTTGCCGCAGTTTGCGCGCAACGAGCCCACGTATACACATTGGGGAACGTTCCTACGTTGCGTCACTTGCGCAGCGCTGTTTTTTAAGAGTTGTCAACTGCAATGAATGAACATCGACCTCAGTTTACACTCGGATTCGGAAGCGGTAGCGATCAGCTGTCGGAGTCTGCAGTTTGTTCGGAATTCGGGGTGAAATCGAGCCCTCGTCCGAAGCCCTCCCGAGTGTTGGGGCCCTTGTTTACCGATTCATTCATATGTTTGAGAGACCAGCACGAAATTAGAGAGCCGTTAATATGCGGCATCAGAGCCAGCGGTCGGAAATTTGTCACAGCACATCAACATCAGCGGCGTTCCGTTCGCTCAGTTTGTGACTCTTTCCGCAAACGCCCGAACATACGGACTCGTCGATCTCTCGTGTGAACGGAGGTGTGGCGATACCGTGGCTCGGGTGGGAAGTGTGTGGGAGCTTCGTTTTGAGCGTCGCGCTATTTCGCTTCGCGTAGCCCGAGTAAAAATGGTGAAAGTCGACTTTCTTTTCAATGTCTTGCATGCGAGGTTGGCACGTAGCGTCCGGGAGTAGCCCCCGTTGGGCCCTGCGACGGCCACGTAACAATCGTTGTTGACAGATAACCGTAACGCGATTCGCGGATTCATGTGCACGGGACAGTTTTTGCGTAAACATAAAAACGCGCTTCAAAGAATTCAGTCGTCCGACATATTGCAAGTACCTGCTAGGTGCTTTTTTATTCATCCCAATAATAATAATAATAATTTGGGTTGTGGGAATATTTAGACAGCATGTAGTTGGTCAGCCATTTCAAAGATGCGACGAGTCACTCGCTGTAGATGAGCAATTTAGCCAGTGCACTACAGCCGCTGCCCTGGGGTCTTTAACGTTCACCACGCAGTAGTGATGCACGACCGCACACCTGTACGATGCTCATTCAGATCGAAACGGGCAGGGGTGGGGATTGAGCCCAGGATCTCTGGGTTTTGCAGCGTGAGCTTTCACTCCATATGCTCCGAGCTGGTTTGCACTAGCCCACTCGGCCACCGATCCCCCTTATTCATCCCAAGAAGTATAAAATGTCTGTCTTCTTAATCACACAGCCAACTTGGCCCAAGGGTTGCGTTGCCATTTGTTCTCCTGTCTGTATTTACATTTTGTGCACCTTCATCATGTCTACTTGAATGTTGTTCCTCTTCCTTTTTAAAAGAACTCGGGAATTCAAGCAGACTTTCATACAACGATGAGAGCCTCCAGAAACGGCATGAAACCACTGTACTGTTGTAAAATGAAATGACTATGCAACATTGAAGTAGGCCACTGCATACATTTTCCATTAAAAATTCACTATCGCGAACAATATGAGCGGGAACCTAAGAGCACGTGGCTTTCGATACATGCTGCGCCACCTTGAGGCTGATAAAACTGTGGAGTGGAGAGGGGCTGCAAGAGTGTGCGCTTACTTTGATGTGCATGCATGCATGTATCAAAAGCCACGCACTCCAGCATTCCCGCTTGTACTGTTCACAATACTTAAGGCTCTGTTATACTCTGACGTCGAGTGTAGCAAACACGACGTAGCGCAGCTGACACCAATACTGATTGGTCGCAGGTATTGAGTACCTGCTCACCGGCTAGTGAAAGGCCCACATTCTGCGCTACGCTATGTTCGCTGTGCTCAACATTAGAGTATAAGAGAGTCCTTAGGGTGACTAATCATAGAGTTATTATAACGTACGCTAGAGGTTCATCTGGCACTAGTGTGCTGTTGCAAAGTGAAGTAGACAGCAACCAGTCGGCAATTGACTTCCAGTAATGCATTTCTACGGGGAAAAGCGTGTGCATTATTTCCCTGCACTTGATTTAAAGAGCAAATATTGCAAACTATAATGTAGTAAATGGCTAAACACATTTCTGAATCATGTAAATTAAACTATTGGTCATTTACAGTCTTTTTATTTTGAATTTGTGGCATTAAACACAGTGCTAAAACAGCTTTATACATGCATTTATCTGCACTGTCGGACACTGGTAGCGCAAACAAGGCAATGGCACTTGCCTCTGCTGCGTTGTGCGAGGACAGCGAAGCAGATGTTAGTTGCATTATTTTTCCACGGGGTGCGGTATTGTCGATGCTAAGAAGCGTCGATGGTACCACGCTGCGTTTGTCGATTGCAAACCGAAACTTAAAAACCCGTCGAAGTTGTGCTGTTTTTTAGAAAGCTGTAAAATGCAGCGCATGCCTTCTATCGCACTCAAGTTTATTTGTTTAGTGTTTTTCGATGATGCTCAGCAAGTTTCCGAATGAAACCATGTCCTTAAACTCAATATTTAAAAAATTAAATATGTGAAAATAATTAACAACTTAAATATGAAAAGTAGACTGGTTGCTGTCAGCTTCATTTTGCATCCCGGAAGTTGCATAGACACTAGCACCAGTTGAACCTCTAACATACGTTAAAATAACCCCATGTGACGGACATCCCGTTTTGGCTAGGACAGTCCCGTTTTAGAGTGTATACTTGCCCTTCCGTCTTTTTGTCTGAATAAAGCCAAATGTCCCATTTTCTTGGGAACTTACTTGCGAAATCAGTACCAAGCAATTGGAAGAAAAAATATGCTTACTCATGTCAGTGTAGAAGAATAAACATAGTATAGAAATGTTATCTCCAGTAGAGTATGATTTTTAGCTTTTTCTGTGGCTCCACTTACCAATAAGTTTCATTCACACAGACGTGTGTATGGGGCACTTTTCTTTATTACAAAATGTGTGCATGCTTAGGCTTTGGAAAATGGGTGAGAAAGGTGCTTGTGTAGTCAGCTACTCAACGAAAGGCAGCAGAAGAGTGTGTTTTCACACTGAATGAAATATTAGCAGAACCTATCTTTCTTTCTTGTGCCCCCTTGTGCCAGTTAGAGCCCGACAATAAAGGAAACATATTTGTAACTTAAAATTTGATTTTCTCCTCAATACGACCGTCTGTCGATGACTGGCTGCTCTGGTCTTTCTTCGCTTTCCCTCAGTTGTCTGGAATGACGACTCAAAACTTGTAATATTTTACAAGTAATAAACTGTCTGTGGCTCATTTTCATTAATAAAACTACTAAAATACATAAAACATACTTGTTTTTTTTTACCTAAACACTAAAAATTTGTAGATGGAAATGAAGTTCAAATACATAATTGTGGGGGGAATGGAACCCCCCCCCCGATTGGCAACTCGTGGAGCTTCTAACCGGGCATGGTGCGAAGACGTCCACCTGATATTTGCCTCCACGTCCCTTTTGTGGGACCAGTGCGCAGGTACGACAATGCAACGACGTGTGGCCTGGTGTGGACGGCCAACTTTGTGGCGTACCGGTGCCGCACGTGCGGCATCTCGCCCTGCATGTCGCTGTGTGCCGAGTGCTTCCAGCAGGGCGACCACCAGGGCCACGACTTCAACATGTTCCGCAGCCAGGCGGGGGGGGCCTGCGACTGTGGAGACGGCAACGTCATGCGCGAGGACGGGTGAGTGCGCCCTCCCCCCCCCCCCCCCCCCCCCCCACCTTGTAGAAGAACAATGAGCAGTGGCATACACAACGTCTTTGATAGCTGAAGCCAACGATAACCGACGGCTGGCTGCTCAGAAAGAGGTTTCTTATGGTGTATTCGTGCGGCAGATCTTTTATCTCTAGAGAAAACCGAGTATGGGTCATAGAGCTGCAGGAGGAGGAGGCAGTTAAGAAAATCCAAGTGAGCGTTCGCACAATGGAGTTGCATGTAGTTGAGTCAGTGGAGTCTTCCTTTTCATGAGCATGTTTGTGACTTTCGGGGGTTCATCGGACAAATGGAAGGGAAAAGGAAGAGAAAGAAAAGGGCACCCCAGAGCTCATTACTGCCGACCCCAATCCTTCCCCAAAAGGACGCTTCGACGGAACGGCGAATATTCTGTAGGCCGGCGGCAGATTTTCCACGGCTGCCCGCGGGCTTGAGGGATCGGCGAACATCCATGACGTTGCACACGTGACCTCAGAACTCGACGACGCTTAATCCTCTACTGGAAGAATAGCTCCATCGTGCGAATATGCCACTATTTGGGGGTGATAAGGGAAGAAATTTCTAGGATGCAGACAAGCTTGGCCGACAAAGCTGACAAATGCATGGGGACGGATGGCGTCTGCTACAGTGAACGGTCCCCATTTTCTCGTTGAAAAATTTTGGAAAGTCGCTTATAACTTTTTAATTGGATAGCAGTAAGCTCTGAAGCTTCAGCATCTGGTCCGGACCGCTTGCGATACATTGGGAGAAGACTGAGTTTTCGGCAGCGCACAGTTTATTCCTGCAATGAAAAAAACACCTTAAATGTTTCTTTTTGTACCCTGTAGTCTTGTAGCGCCAAATAGCCAGTCGGCCGTTTATCGGGCCATCTTCTTCTCGGTTTGCTGCATTTAGCGTGACTGTGTAACGTGGACGCAGGTTCTGCCACCGGCACGGCCCCAAGGCCCAGGAGGGCAAGCCCCCGGCGCCTCCCGACCTGCTCTGCGTGGCCGAGTCCATGATGCCTCGCGTCATCCTGCGGCTCATCCAGCACCTGAGGGAGCACAGCGACGCAGCCGATGCCGGTGAAGCCCTTTCCTCTTCTTAAAACGTCCCTCTGCTGGCTTCGGATCCCTACTGCCTCCTTTTTTTTCCTCAAGCCTTTTTTGTACTTGCTCTCGTTTGGCCTTGTCCTTATTTGCAGCTGTATTTGTTTCATTTGTTGTGTTTTGCCGTGGAATCTTTGCTATCCCCGCATTCTTCCTGTCCTAATGTAATGACTGCACACGGGAACCCTGCACAGACCCTGCTTGCTCGTGTTGGGGTTGGTCGCACCAGAGCAAGGCCATGGGACAGGGTGTCAGCAGCAGAACACAGGTGTTGGTTTGATGTAACAGCATCGTGCCATACAAGGTCTTTAGGGGGGAGGGGGGGGGAGGGAGGGGTACGTAAGGGGTGAGCTTGTGGTGACTGAAAGATATTTGATGTTTTAAAAGCAAAGCAATCTTTATCACCACAATTAGAAAATACTAGATGAAGGCGCTTGTCAGAAATGACCCTCCTGCTGTCAAGCTGGTCACCACTGTCTCGAGTTGTTCGGTCTGAGCTCGTGTCTTGTCTGTCCCTTTAGCATCACGCATGACACGCGGGGATGCATCACATCTGCGTGACTTGCCCCGCCAGACATGAGGCTGCCAAGCACTTTGGCGCTATGAGCTCACGCTCTCCCCCCTCTCCCTCTGCCGCGTAGGAACGGGGGCTGCGTAGTAGGGTAGGACCTGCGTAATAGTAGAATAACCTAGTACCTTAAAATCTCGGAAGGGTACCCACCCAAAATGAAGATATAAATGGTAAAAAAACACGACGTGGGCTGTCTTTAAGGATGAGACGGCAAAACTTGATGAAAAATTAACGATAAACACAGGGGCGCCCGCTACAAACCACGTTACATGGGAGCTTATACCGCAGATCGCTGACGCAGCAAATTTGCGTTTCACAACTCTATAAACACACAAGAATTTCCTGTGATCTCCTGTGTCACGCGAAAGGACACCGCAGACTGGATGCATCTTGTTTCACGGTGCGAGAAACACGCAGAAACTGGCTACAAACTTGCGTGCCATGCGAGCCGGTATCAGACGTGCAGATCGCAAACAAAAGACGCGAAACTCGCTACTAACTCGCTTGTTACACTTACCGGTACTGCAGATCACGCTGTGGATGTGATTCCCATATATCGCATGATGTTCAACGTGGCGTGGGACATCCATAACATTGCATGGGCAATATTTTTTTTATTCTTATGTTACGGATATTTAGCCAGATAAACGGGATGGGCAATCTCTCAAGGAAGGTAGCCCTTACAGGATTTTATGGGTTGCTCCAAGGCATTTCACGGTCGGATTGTATACTTGGCAGCATTTCAGAGAAAATTATGCAACTTCCTCCAAAGAATAGGTGCATAGATAAGGAAGTTCTTTAGACATTCACAGTTCCTTTGCCACGTGTCACATTGTATATCATTTTGATAGCAAGTGCTGCTCATTAAAAGAAAACATTCAAGTGCTATTGCACCTTCATTACATTTTATGGTATGCTAGGCGATTTCTTTTTTGTGAGTATCCTTGACTATGTGGCCTGGTTTGCTTGCTCAGTATGAACTGCAACGAAACCTTAGTTGAGATAGTGGGGAAAATAAAACATTGCCAACACCAAAGCTTAAGCTGCAGAAAGAGCGCCTTTCTGCTTCTATGCTAGCCTCAGTAATGCTTTCTTTTGCACCACCTTGGTGTAAAGGCTTTGCCTCGGTTTGTTTCGGGCAAGCCAGTCGTAGTCTCTGCTGGCCTTTTGTTCTTTGTGATGCTTTTTTTTTAGCCGTTGATTATCTTAAGGCACCTGCTGTCATTATGCCGCAATTTGTTTTATGGTTTAGAGACAAAAGAAAATATTACTAATTTCATTTGCTGCCTTTAATGTATAAGCTTCACCTGCCCACTCGTGAGGGTCCCTTGTGTTGTGCATTTCCAATGCTGCCATTGTTTCGTTGTACCGCTTGATCCCTCTCCTGGCATGACTCCAAAAATGGGTTGTTTGGGAATAAATAAGCAAATGTGAAGGCTTTTATGTTCACGCTGTGGACATGAGCTTGCGGGGAGATACATGGCTGAACCCTTGAAATTCGGTGGCGGTTTGTGCCACATAGTTGGAATTTTAGTGCCAACATTTAACCTCTGCATAATATGCGAAAAATTGATGTTGGGCCTTCTAATAGTAATACCGTTGGTGAAAACGACTCAATGGGGTGCTGTGCAGCGAATGTGGACCAGAAAGCGGTACAGAAGGCCGACGGCTTCCTCACCATGCTTCACCAGCTGAGTGAGATGGGGGCTGTGATGCGCCAGGTGATGACCAACGCCCTCACCAACCCCCTCAGCTACAGGATCCTCACGGGACCGGCAGCCCGTGAGTTGCAACATCTTTGGCCGACGTCACTAAGGTGCCAATCAGCTGCTTATAAGGTGCCAATCAGTTGCCGGTAAGGTACCATTCAGTGTCTGTTCAGCATGGTTGCACAATTGTGCAATGTATACCGGTAAGCGTCAGTTATTTCGGATTAAATAGATTGTGTAAACAATGATCGGTAAATAGTTTGACAATTTAAACTCATCTGGAAAAGTCAAATTTTCAAAAAAAGGTAATTGCTTTTTATTTTTAAGCATAATATGCAGGCTTCTTACTTTTCTCTGCCTCTGCGCCTGTGCCGGAAAGGAAGAAAGAACTGCTGTATTTGGACGGTTCGCAGTCGCCTTGTGAAAAGCACTTACCGGAGGCTGCGAAGAAAGAGTCATTTCTTTTGGTGGATTTGGAGCGACATATTCAAAGGAGATCTTATCAAAATCCTAGAAACTCTTGTGAACCCTGTGTCGTCTGGAAAAGTCTGATAAAGAAGACAGATCGTAACTTGAGTATGTATTTGCTATCATAAATTATTCTTTCTGTTTTATTTAACTTCACCAATGTGCTCACGTTGAACTAAGTATAAATTGCAAGTTTGGTTTTTTTTGCATTTTATTTTCTCGGGCAAATAATTTTATTTTCGTTTACGAAAATTTTAAACATACCGAGCGAGACCTCAAACAACCCCCAAAACAGCACGTGAGAGCTCAGAAGCATCAAAAGATTCTAAATCTTAGAACCAGTGTTAACAAAAACTAAAAAAATAAAAATAAATGCAATTTTATTTTCTTAATTTTTGTAGATTAGATTTTAAAAGTGTGGGTTGTTTGTTTGGCTCAAAAATATTTTTTTGTGTCATGCCCGTAGCCTGCCGTAGTTTCCCCGAAACTCGACATGTGCACGTCCGTTCTCTGCAGTGGAGACTGAGGATGAGGCCAAGGCCAACTTCATCCGCCAGAACAACGAGCGCTATGAGGAGGCCAAGCGCAAGCTCAAGAACTGGGAGAGCCCACCCGAGTACCAAGGTGCGCTTCTGCCTCCATTCTTTCTTCTTTCTTTTATTTTTTCTCTCTCTTTCTTTTACTGTCTCATCTCTGCTCAGGAGTTCACCTCATGCACTTTTCAGTCTTTGTGTTATTGCTGTCGGCTTTGTGAGGAATTCACAAAGCTGTGTAACCAGTCCAGTTCACTGCTTTTTCTAGTACTACTAGTTCAGTGTAAGCAGCTTTTCTTTTTCTTTTTTATTGTGAGAAATGGAAGGATATTATTTTACCCTCGGAATGTATAGTAGGAAAATCTAGGTCAGAACCGTTATTATGTCCTATCTTTCACATTATGTACAGCTTGCTGATGGTCTAGCGACACTTTTTGCCTTGCAGTGGATTTTTACAAGATGTTCACTGAAGGTGAGAGAGGTCGACAGCATGTCCTTCCAGTGTATAGCTACTGCGCATTAACATTTTAAAGAAATCCCTCTAACCACCAACTAATATGTTTTTATTTTCGGCTCCAGAGTTTATGTTAATTTCATAAAGTAGCTGTTTGGTACCCCTGCCTGGTTTCATTCGTAATTATGTTAACATTTCACATTGCTCACAAAAGTGTGTATGTTATCACAACTTACACTCATTCTTTTAAATGCACTCTATTATACTGTCGTGACTATGGTCGCAATTGGAGCTAAGTTCTCGTAAAAGCCAAAAATTGTTCCTAACCTTTGCTTGCAGCAGCATTTTGCTCCAGCTGCTGCTTCTCATCAGTGCATGGCTGTACTGTGGAAAAGTGCACTTGTCTGCATGTGAGGCAACGTGAAGCCATGGATCTATTCTTGTTTACTATTTTGTTCACTTTTTATACATTCTGTTCTTTCTATACATTCTGAGATTTTACAACTTAAATCCTTTCAGTTTTCACAGAGAGCAAAATAAGCAGGAGCAAGCTTCTAATGAACCACGTTGGCACAATAGATTGTTCAACATTTGCAACCTTGCTAACCATTGCTTACCCGTAATGGTGAACAATGGTGAGGTACACAGATTCCAGCTGGGCATTGCTAGGTGCCCTGAATCTCAATAGATACTGGTTTGGTCATTCCACTACAAGCTAAATAAGGGGTCCAAGCAGAGGCAGACTTTGAATAGGTTAGAATCACCCACCATTAGCCCAAACCGCCTGCACTGGCAACAATGATGGTTGTACCCACAAATGCTTCCGAATATGCTCGGCTGTTCACAATTACCACTGTGGTGTATTTCAAAAATGGCACCGGCACCTTATTAGACTGTGGACGTGAAGTGTTCTGTGTGTACCCATAGTCCGCAAACATCTATTTGAGTGTGGCAGAGCTGTTCATCTGCACGTATGTGTGGCACCCCACTTCGTGCAGAGTGTGCTGCATTTGTCTCCTCACCTTGTCGTGCAGAGATCACGGCCCTGCAGCCCAACCTCGTCCACAACAGCTTCCTGGAGGAACTGGTCTTCTGGATGGTCAAGTTCGAGTTTCCCCAGAAGCTGGTCTGCTTTCTGCTCAATATGCTGCCAGACACCGACTACAAGGTACTATGTGTAACGAGACGAGAGTGGGCACGTACAGGGTGCAGCAAGCTTTAGGTTGACGAAACTTTAAATTATGCAGAATTATGCAAAATGACAGTTCAGATGTCGCTCATCAGCAAGGACGGCCAACTCACTGAACTATATACTTTGTGTTGTCCTAATTTGGCAAACAATGAATGACCTTTTGAACCAATGAGAGGGACAAAGGTAAGCACATAAAAGCTTTTGGCAGGAGGAGAGCACCCCGAAACTCTGATTGGCTCGCTGGGGCCATGTATTTTGCTGTTTACCAAGTTATGGCGAAACGAGATAATAGTGAAGTGTGTATTCAGTGAGAAGTTCAGAGTTCAGGGAAAGCTCCCCCCACCTCTTTCCACTTTAGCAGAGCGATCGCTGGAGAAGAAGTGGCCTCCTCTCCTGCATTCGCTCTGCTAAAGTAGAAAAAAGTGGGAGAGCTTCCCCTGAATTCTTAACCTGTCACCAGCTACAGTAGACTCTCACTTGAGCAAACTTCAAGGGACCCAAGGAAAACTTTACTGGAAGTTCACTAAATTGAATATATTCACTAGAATACGGAAAAGCATAGGGTACAGCACACATAGAGTTTAAAGTGTAAAAGGCAATTTATAGAGTCGTGTACATCGATATATACAAAGTGCATAACCGTTACATTGCTGCCTTTCTCATTTTGAAAAAAATATTTAATTTTCATTTGCACCGGCGTTCTTAAAGCGCATGAAGTAACAAAGCTGTCCAGAGAGTCTACATTTTTTTGCTCTTCCTCTGGCACAGTTTGTTGCTGTGATGAAGCCATACCGCCGCGGCATCGTCCTCTGGCCTGAAATACCCCGTGCGGAGTCGTTTCCTGTTGGGTTTGAATGCAGTTTCTCCTTCAGGCTTCGACCTTTGCTTCACTATCGTTGACAACATCGATAGTGGAATCCCATAGTCCTTTGCAACGTCCACTTGCCTTTGACCGTCGTGCAGGTGCTGAAGGATTTTGAGCTTGTCTGATGGAGACAAGCGCTTCCGTTTTATCATACTCATTAGGAAAGTGGGCGCACAAACTGCCGTCCTGCCGTTGTTACCCAAAACTAAGATGGCCGAACGGAACCGATGACGAAGAAAAAACAGACACACCACGTGGTTCGTTTTCGTCTACCGCACCGCCGTTTTGGCTCGGTGGCGCTGTAAACGCCAGCAATGATACGCCGCCGCTGCAGAGGGGGCAGCAGCAGGGCGGCGGGCATCGGCTACGCCAGCACTACAGAGCACAAAACTTTGTTGAACTGATTGCAAAAATAATCCTGGGTCCACTGATCAAGGCCGTTAAACCGAAATATTCGCTATTCTGAAATTATTTTTTTGTTTAACTGAAACATTTTTGCATAAAATGCATAGCAAAATTGCCCAGGATTTTTTTATAGTATGTTATTCTGAAATATTTGTTAAACCGACGTTCGCTCAAGTGAGAGTTTACTGTATAGTCTTTTACACACGGGCTCGTGTCAGGAATGTATATATAAAATATGCTTTCTGTCACTTTTTGAGTAACAACCAGACCAATGTGCGCTTGTTACATGCATGGGCACCGCTTTGGTTTGACCTAGGAGGTGAGCTCATTATACAGCTACAGAGCTCTTGTGCTAATATGGGTATTGGTAATTATTTTGTCGCTGCTTCTGCTTTCGGGGACGACTGCGACTCTAGCCCTTCCTCAAAAGCCCCTCGGTGCCCCTGCAGGAGTCCTTCACGCAGACCTTTGTGCAACACTACAGCCGCATCAGCCAGATGCTGACCCAGTCGGTGGACTCGGAGACGCTCTCGAACCGGGTGGTGCACGTGAGTGTGCAGCTCTTCTCCAACGAGGCCCTGTCCCTGCGCATGACTCAGCGTGCCCACCTGCTGCACGTCATGGTCATCAGCCTCAAGGCCATGATGTCCCTCATCCTGCACCAGAGCACCCTGCAAGGCAAGGCCACCTTTGCCCACACTCCTACGGCACCTGGACCGTGTCTCCAGCAGCTCTGCGTCCTCTACGTGTACACGCGTATATAATCTGCTCCGCGTGCTGTACCTCATATGCGTTAAAGTGACCCCGTAGCAACGACAGAATGTCTCCTTCTTTTATGGGCGACAGCATTTGGCTATGTGCCTGCTTTCCGTCGGTGTAGACTGCGTGGCATTCACGCGAGAATGGAAAATCAGACAATGGTATCTGTATCCGATTTACCGGTATCAGTGTTATTAGTGGGTCTTTTAACCATATGAACATGTTTCATTACAAGTGACAGGGATATCTGCAGTTAACCAATGGGGTTACGAGGATCTGAAGATAATTTTGGTAGTAAGAGGCGCAACAATAGGCTAGGTAAATGGCCTCATTTCCGATGCCACACTTTTTGTCTGTAAGCAAGCCAAGGACAGGAGATTTCTCTCATCGTTGGTTTCGGATCCCGTCCTCTTTCCTCACAAGTCATTTTATGATAGTCATTTTATTGGGAAGAGGTTTGTATCACATGTCACTTGAGAGCGAGACCAAATCCTCCCTCTCCTCCCTGCTTCCCGCAGACCCTGGGAAGAACTTCCACTCTGTGGTGAACTGTGGGCACCGCATTGCCAAGGACCACTGCTACTGGCCCCTGGTGAGCGACCTGAACAACATCCTCACCCACCGGCCTGTCGCCCTCGAGTTCCTCAACGACCGGCGGCTGCTCGACATGTGGTTCTCCCTCATCGCCATGTTCCAAGGTCCGTGTCCCCAACGTCCTCTTCTTCCATCTTGTTTTAAGTAATTGGGCGGCTCACTTCAACGGCAGTGCAACGGACCCGCTACCTTAAGAGCACGAATAGTTTTTACTCACTTATTGTAAAGGTGCGTTTTGTATGCACTGTGTGGTTGTCTACTTATGTGGCAAAGCGTAAATAATCATGTACTAGTGTTAATGTGTTGCATGCCTATTATACTGAGTGCTCAAGATGAAGATCTCGAAATGTCTTCAATGTTCTAACAACAACCATTATTAAAGTTTTATCTTCCCAAAAGAAATTTCAGATGCCACTTAAAGAATGTTGCACTTTTAGCATGGAAGTGTGTGTGGAAATCAAATGGCATACAAAAAAGTTTTGACTCATGCTTAGTACTTCTGATATTTACAAATAAATAAACAAACGAGAGATACACAGAGATTATGTGCAAGTGCCCTTAGGCGCACTTGGAGCACTTGGAGCAAAAGCGGAGATGCATATCTACCCCAAGAAATAAAAAGTATTGGGTATAGGTGACTTATTGTTTTGTGAATTCAGTTAATTTGGGTTGAGTCTGGCAGCTGCCTTAACAAAACTTCTCTCTTAATCCATCAGGGATGAACCCAAACCAGCGTGAACTGTCCCAGCACGTGGAATTCGAGCCCAACACTTACTATGCCGCATTCTCTGCCGAACTGGAGGCAACTGCCACGCCGCTCTGGGCACTCATCTCCCACCTCAGGAATGAGGCAAGTCACTCGTTAGCACCGCTTAAATTCTTAATCTGAGCTTTCCATTATTGTAATACATAAGATTCCTGGTGTTGCTTTTCCTCAAACTCAACAATAGTATGCAGGTATGAAGCAAGTCTCTGTTTATCCGTAATTAAGTCTTGCAGTGGTGCGACCCCCGCCAGCGAAAGAAAAACAAAATCGAAAGTTTTGAAACACGCTACTTTCTGGACGTTCACTCAGCTTGTTTGTCTTGCTTATTTCTTAGGAATTGTGGTAGGTGGCTAGCACAAAATTAATGGTTTTGGTTGTCATAACTAGGTCAAAAGCAAATTGTTTTTTTTTTTCACTGTTTTTTTTTTTTTTCATTTACTGCAGTAAAAACACTTGATTAGCGTAAGAAGAGTAATCATTGAATATGTTATGTGTTTCGCAGGTTTCTCTGGCACCACAGACAAGCTGTCTTCTTATGTGGGCCTGAATGTTTGTTTGTTTATATATTTCCTTGAAGAAAATCATCTTCATCATTATTATTATTTACGGATGTGCAAATAATAAAAATTTAGAATACAAATATTTAAAAAAATACTTTGAATATTGAATATGTTTTGAATATAAGCTAAGAAATAACAAAAAATATCCAAATAAATTTTTATTACTTTGAAAACCAAAAATGATGTTAACAAATTCAAGTGAATGAGACTACCTGACTAGGCAGCATATAAACAATGCTACTGATTACACAGCTATTATACCTTGACTAGTAATCACCTGCCAATTGTACATGAAAACAGGCAAAAAGGTGTAACTCATAAGTTACACAAATTGACAAAATTAAGAGTGTAGGACATAACTGCACATGACTAGATAGCATCTAAAAATGCAACGTGCATTGCACAAGTAACTGGTAGTGACCTTTTGTAAGAATATAATTGAAATTGCCCTTGACAAGGCACCATGTTAGATATCAGTTGCTAATGCAATTATTGCAAATTACCATGAAAGAAAATTAATTGCTCCTAATGTTCAGTATATAAGTGCTCCCTTTTCACCGTGACAACTGCTCCACCCTCGCTCCTGCGGCAGAAATTATAAGGTCGCTAGGAAAGTGATTCACAATGCAGGCTTGGCAAAACGAAAATTAAAACTGCTTCTTTGTTGCGAATTAATACATGCATGTTTGCACGATTCTAATGCTCACTTTTTTTTTTTGCCGAAATCGGTGCCCAAATATACATGTGCGTTACAATCAAGACCAAAAACCGAAAGAAAAATGCAAGCCCCATCACCATCGTGACCGTTTGTTTACATTCGCCATCTTCGTATCCGCATCACGTGAATTTTCTCGCATCTACGAAGTTGTATCTGCCATTAAGATGGAAAGACAAAAGAAATTCCACTAGGAGATCTTATTTACACGAATGGCCATCGCGCTGGTGGGAAAAGATAACAAGGTATCACTGCATGGCCTCCCAATCCCAGCGACCCGATGAGCTCGCAAAGTGGAAGACGACCCTCCCGGAGGTGATAGTCACGCACTCGTACAAGCCCAAGAAGCGCAGCACCTAGAACGATTTAGACAAAAGCAAGGATTACCTCTTTGTAGTGCGAAGAACCATCCTCGGACTCCGACAACGAAGACTAGTCCATGGTATTTATTTTTATGTTGGCGCGCGTTTCACAAAATCTGTTTTATGAGGGGAGGTAGTATGTGTTCAACCTTCATTATTTTACCTGCGCGGTAGAATCGGCAGCAATTTACTTTTTGAATATCTGGGAGCAAAATCTGCCTGCTTGTTAGATTTGGGTGCGTGTTAGAGTTGTGCAAACCACATAGTTCTACCTGTAGCGTAAATGGCAAGGGTTTATAGAAAAAGGGCTGCAGTACCTGAAATTGTAGGCGACTAAACACAGTTTTTAAAAAAGTTCTGAATGTTCAGGGCATGGCCCACTTGTGGATTATTCGCTACTTGCTCGAATATTTGTCCATAACCGAATATTCATAAATTTTCGATTATGCAAGTCTTGAATCGAATAAGAAAAATATTCTATTCATATTCGAAATCTCGAATATTTGCACACCCCTATTATTATTACATTCACAATACATCAGAGCAACAGGGTGTCGAATATGCTTTCATAATAAACGGGGCGCAGCTTTTTATTTCTTTCCTTAAGGCAAGATGAAGTATAAATATGTACACAGGCAAAGTTACAGCTCTATTAATGCATGCATACAAACGCACCTGGGAGGAGGGCTCACTCCTGATTACACTGCCTCACTGCAGAAAAGAGCACCCACGACAACTCCGCTGGGAGGGTTGCTTTGCCGCACGTCAATCGTGCAGCAGGGGAAGCACACTTTACGAAGCTGTAGTGACACACCGTAACAAAAGTTGCTAATCGGCAAAATTGGTCTTTCCGTAAAATCCCATAAGAACGCCCACCCAAAATGAAGAGTTAAATAGTGAAAACTGGGGGGAATACCTTTGCAGATGCGACAGCAAAAAGTTATGAAGAATTAAAGATAAGCGTAGGAAGTATAGGGAAGGGGAGCCTTCTTCTCTGCTACAAGCCATCTGAAACGGGAACTGAAACCACAGATCGCAGACATGGCAAATTGGCATCTCACGGTTTGATAACCATGCGGGAATTCGCTACGAGCTCCCTTGTCAGAGGAAGGGATACCTCAGAACGCGAATGCAACAGATTTGTTCTTCACGGTGTGATAAGCACACACGAGGACCCATTCAAACATGGGTGTCACAGGAACTGATATCATGCCTGCAGATCATGAACAAAAGCGCGGAAACCGCTACGAACTCGCATGCCACAAGAACAGATACTCCGGATTGCGGACGTAGCAGATTCGCATTTCATGGTGCAATAAACACGCGGGAAACCACTACAAGCTTGCATATCACGGAGATCAAATCCTGCGCAGATCGCGGTCAAGAAAATGCGAGTACAAGCTTCAAACTCGCATGCCACGAGAATGAATTCCGCAGATCGCGGAGGCAGCAGGTTCACGCATCCCGGTGATATAAACAGGAGGGAACCTCTGCGTACTTGTTTGTCACACGTACCGCTACTGCAGATCGTGCGGTTTGTGCGATTCCCATCGGACATCGCGTGATCGACATCGGGCGGGAAGTGGGGGATGGTGCAATGTTTTGGAATTTCAATGCTACGGATATTCAGCCCTAAAACGGATGAGCAATTTATTGGGGGTGGGCATTACGGGATTTTGCAATAATTTTCTAATGCCAACAAAAAATCAAATTTGTATTTAAAAATTTTAAATTTTCAAGTACTACTATTGATTCTCAGTTTAAATTAAATATGGCGATGTTCAAACCGATAATCAAAAGTATGTGCACATGTACCTATGCAAATTTTGAACGCTTTGCTCCCAGATTGCCTTGTGGCTTCATTTATTTGATGCTGAGCAGCAACACCTTCAATGTTTCCTTCCTTTACCCCACATAGGAGACCCTGCCTCTCTCCAAAAATATCTTGGAGCACTGTTTGTCGGCACTAGAGGACTTCTTTGATGGCATTGGCTTCTCTCAGCACGACGTGGTACGTGTCGCCTGGCTGTGAAGCCTCACTTGCATAAGATAGTCAATTAGTACCTCGGGATTTGCCTTTCTTTGTTCATAAACTGCAACGATTGGCTCTGTGGGGAAGTGTATTTGGTAAACACTCTTTGTTTGTTTTAGAGCGCAGCTCTTAGGGGCCCGTTTCCAGCCTGAGCGGCGTCGCCGTCGGCGTAACCGGGGAAGGGGGGGGGGGGGGGGGGTCACGTGACCCCCCCCCCCCAGGTCACATGACCCCCCCCCCCCCGAGGTCATGTGACCCCCCCCCCCCCCCGAGATCACATGACCCTCCCCCCGAAGTCAGTGATCCCCCGAGGTCACGTGACCCCCCCTCCCCCGAGATCACGTGACCCTTCCCTACTCCTCATCAAGAGCTGCGCTCCAATGCGGCATTACAGGGATTTGTAAACAGCTTTTTTATATATCTGTTTATTTTTTAGTTAGTGCACCAACTTCAATTTTATATGGAGACATTGCAGCTTGATTTAAAAGACTGTGGAATTTTTAGTAGGTATACAGAGTATCTATTGATGCTCTGTCCCAGTTCTACTAGTGGTGCTTTATTTTTAACTGGGCTATTGATTGCGAAGTAGAAAAGACAAAAAAGGACGAAGTGCCAGCAGAGTGTTTGGAGCAGGCTAGTGTAGCTGCTTCCCACCCCCGTTGAGGGATCGGTAGTCAAGGGGATTAGCTTGGAGAGTGTAGAGCAAAAACTCGCGCTGCAGATCCCAGGGATCCTTGGTTTTATCCCCATCCCAGCCCGTTTCAATCTGGATAAGCGTCATACAGACGTGCATTACTACTGCGTGATGCACATTATAGACCCCAGGCTTGCAGCAGTACTACACTGGCTAAATTCCTCATCTACAACGTAAAGCAGTGTTGCCGCACCTCAAATGCAAACCGACCTTATGCTGCCTAGACGCAAACGTCAAATTTGTTTTTGGTGCGGACATTCCCGTTGCAGCCCAACCCGTACCAAGTTTCGTTCCACCTCCCCTTGCACCGGTACTACTCGGTATTCCTGTGCCAGGCAGTGCTGCACCAGGGCGCCACCCTGGTGGAGCTTCTGCCAGACAGGGACACCCTCCAAGTGCTCATGGCACACCCTCTGCACGTCATGGTGAGTGGAGCACCCTGCCCTGGCCACCGGAACGTCTTCTCTCGTCTAGAAGAGCTTGCATTTGCAAGAGAAACAAGGAGTTTGCCTTTGATCTCGAGTGAAAGCAACAGCAACTCATTTCACGAGACTACCGGTCAGTCGCCCGGCACTTGTGGATTAACCATTACGTCGTTTTAGGAGGCTTCTGAACCAGAGAATATAGGTTGTGTTATATACTGCTAGCTTCTAGCAGCTTCCTGTAACACACTTTTTGTAATGCGCTCCTGTAACGGTGCCACGGAAGATTGGACACGAGAGCTGAATCAGCATTTCAGTGGAACTCGTGTGCTCACTGATTGAGTCACAGCTGGACACAGCACTCGTGTCCGATTTTATTCGGCACTACATCCTCGTCATCCAGCCGGTGTCGAATGAGTGTGTTCGCACATATGGTTGAAGAGTGTGCAGGAGGGGGGAGTGAACAGGCGAGTGCTTTGCAGGAGGCACGAAATACGAGGGTCAAGGCTAGGCAGTGGGACGGCAAGAGAGACAAACTTTGCATCCACTTCCACCGGTGCCCTATAGTTTTAGCAGGGTTTCCTCTCAGAGGCGCTACGCACGACGATGTTCGTGGCGTTGAGGCTAATTTGTACCAAGTTCATCCGTGTCACAAAAAAACCGAGGTAACACGATACATTCTGCATTACCACTGACTTTGCCACGATAATGCAACAGAGGGCAAAATCGTTTTGCAACTTTTTCTGAATTCGATGCCTCTGAAACTCGCTTTCTCACAATGCCCTAACTTCCGGTGTCGTCTGGTACGCTCAAATGTGGCGATTCGAGGCACCCCCTAAATCGGCCGCGGCGTCTCGCGTCTCTCTGATGACAGGTGGCGTTCCACGAGGTGATGTGCGGGCTGTGGGCGCGCAACGGCTTGCAGATCAAGGGCCAGGCCATGACGTACATCCAGTGCCACTTCTGCAACTCCATGGTGGATGCGGACCTGTTCCTGCTCCAGCTGTGTGCCACCCACCTTGACTCCGACTGGTTCCTAAAGACCATCTTCGAGAGGTGCCTCCGAAACGGGCTTCTTGCCATCTAGAGTCGAAGAACCGCACAAATTAATACGAGATCACAGATACTGCTATGGGCCAGTGGAAGTAAAAGAAGTGAACAGGACCATCGCTCTGGTCACTGACAGGATGAGAAGAGCAGGGAGGTCTCCCAGTTGCCCCACCTCCAGCGCAAGCGTCCTACCTCCGATAACACTTCATCATCTCGCGAGGCTCGAGAGCGCATGCGCAGTCGAAACATGGCGGAGGGCAACAAGCGCGTGCTGGAGGCCAAGAGTTTCAAAGAGACCATTTTCAGTGTCGGAAACCCTGGCCCCCAGTGATAAAAATGGGAAGCTACGATCTCAAATGCAGGCTCTTGCGAAGAGAGGGGCTGCGCACGAAACGAGATTTTTGCTTTTTACGGCACTCTTGGCATCGGTGTTGTCCCTGGAGCTTCGTGACTATGCATTGCGCCGCGAGCATGTGCTTGTCTTGCGCCATGAGCACGTGCTTGTCTGATGTATCTCATCTTCTTTGGTCTTCTCTTCTGGATGAAGTATTGAGTTTTGAGTTCAGCGTCTGTTTTGTCTCCTGTATTCTTCTACAGTTTCCTACCATTTTTGGCTGATTTTAACCATTCCTAATGCTCCGTGGTTACTTCAGGTACACATTAGGTTAAAGTCCAACCTTGGTATTAAGGAATCATTTTAACCGTGCAGTAAAATTTAGAGTTTGGATATACCCCTTCTAGTTAACTATTGCTTGTCCTTGAACATCCAGGTATGTGTGTGTGCTTATCTGTAATTGTATGTGTAACTTAATTAGATCTCACTTTGAGTGACTGCGTCTTTATTAATTTAAAGCGATGCTAAAAGGGATCCTGAGATTGTTTTTCTATGGTGCAAACTCAACCTGCATACCCTAAGCATCCCGGAAAATCAAGAATCAGAATCGTGCATTGCCTTTTTTTTCTATGAAAAGCACCACCAACCATAGCGACGCTCCCCATTTTTCCTAAACATCACAAAAAACCCAAAATTAGAATCGTGCGTGGCCTTTTTTTAATTAAAACCGCAACCAAACATCGCTACTCACTTCCTATTTTTAAATCCGTTTCGAAAAAAACAGGCGTGTCACGGCGTTTCATCTCATCTTTATTCGGGGAAAAGGCCGCGCGTGGTCGTATCTTTGTATTTTCCGGGATGCTTGAGGTATATGGGTTGGGTTTGCATAAGAAGATAACCTCCAAATTCACTGTAGTGCTCACTGGAAAGACACCTTTTCAGCCCCGCTAATGTGCCGACCGGTGTTCCAGGTTCCACGTCTGGGAGTGGCTGTCCCTCTCCCCGGGCCGCGGCAACTCTTTCCTGGACCCGGACAAGGTGTACCCGATGCTCGAGTCCGCCCTCACCTTCCTCGCCATGCTGCTCAACGTGCGCACCAACCTGGGTACGCCCGGCCGCCCGTTTCTTCTACGGTGCGGGTGCCTGCAACGCGCCTCCGACCGGTGTGTCTGCCTAAAAAGCGGTCCCTCCGGTTCCACCCAGCGATGTCGCACGAGCATCTCGCTGTCGCAGTAACGACAGTAAATGTGGCGGACGCCCATTCCGCTGCAGGCGCCCTTCAGCTTGAGAGTTCACGGAAGCTTTGGCTGCCAGAGGGTGGGCGGCGCTCTCGTTCGCTCGTACTTTTTGCTGGAACTTCTAGCATTGACCACCAGGATCGTGACGTCCGACAGCGCAACACACCAGCTCCTGCGACGTCGGCTTTTGCCACTTCGGGACCTTTTTTGATGCGTCGGCAGGATAGGGCGCCAGACACACCGGTTGAGGACACGTTCCAGGCACCCTTAGTGCGGTTTCTCAAACTGAGTTCTAGGGAACCCAGTTTGAGGCTCCTCATCTGCATTGTCCCTACCCCTAAGAAAAGGCTGTTTGGTAGGCGCGTGCAAATAGTGGCTTTGGAGTTTGAAGCAAACGGTTGTTTTGGCCAAATATTTTTAAATTGAATATTGAATAGTTTCTCCAAACATCTCGCTACAGCACCAAGCTTAATTTAATTTTTAAAAAAAACAAAAAAACAGCTGAACTTTTGAAGGTTGTTCCCAAGCTTCCACTTGTCCATATCTAAGCTGATCTTAATCTGCTGTACCTAGATTTATAGATTGTGGCCTCAGAAAGTGCAATGGCTACTTTGGGACGTCGAGTAAATGATATATTTTACGTAAAGTTAAACGTATAGAGGTGCCCAACTATACCCAATTGAGGAGATTTATAAATCTTCTTGCCATCCACAAATATCCTTTCTTAAATCTTGAATCAGAGAAAAGAAAAAAAGAATGCAAGTTGTCGGGACATCTCTGCCTAACATATACTCTCACATAATAGCCACAGTTTAATTTTGAATACTTTACCGTAGTGTAGATATCAGCATTCATAAAGTTTCCTTTCTTTCTAGATACTCCAGGCGCGCGTGTGCACCATCTCGTTTAGAAATCGTACTTTCCTCCTAAGCAAATGACTGGAATATTTGTACCGTATTTGTTCAAATATAACGCGAAGGCAGGTTTTGAGGCCCTCAAAAAGAAAAAAAAAAAAATTATTATTATTATAACTCGAGCCGAGGCTGCATAAATTTCCCACACTGGGGGGCATAGCAAAAGTGAAAAGGCAATGGAAATCGAAGAAATATCAGTTTATGTTTTGACTACACTCATCCTTACTGCTCAGGTCCTTCCGTTTACAATCCACTTGACCACTACCCAATACGTAGCAGCATGGGGCCACTTGTCTGGTTGTTTCTAGTTCCCAGCAGCCCACAAGCAAAGCAAGGCAGGAAGCAGAAGCACCAACAAAAAACACCAGACCACTCTGGAGCAGAAACTAAAAAATGTGCAGGCAGAAAAAAGACTGCTAAACCTGGTACACGATCACACACTGGTCCATCCGCATAGACAAACACCTTGTGTTGCATGATCGCATAAACATGGTCGGTGGTCTGTAGGGGTGTCACGAACTTTTGTCGAACCAGATTTTTTGGTCGAACTTTCGGGGTTCGACTGGGTCGATCGAACTGGTTCGACGAACCTTCAAACTTTTCACCAGATTCGACCGGTTCGACTTTGTGGACAGTGTGGCCAGCCCTTGATACAAGCATGTCTAGGTTTGGAGAATTTTTTTTTGATGCAAAGGGTTATTTTATTTTGTGAACAGCTGCAATTAAAAGAAACTAATTCTAATCACTGAAGAAGTTAATAACTTAATGTTTAGTACTGTATTAACTAAAATAGCCAATCAGCGCTGCACTTAATTTATCTCTTAGCCATTACCATCCAATCCGAAGCCAATTGGCCAGCTTGTCGCGCATGCGCACACGAGTCGAACCTCAATACAAGGTTCGTCAAACTTTCCACTAAAAGTTTGAAAAAGTCGAACCTGGTCGAACTCGAACCGCGGCCGGTTCGCGACACCCCTAGTGGTCTGGTCTTGGTATAGCTTGGCTTAACTTGGCTTGGCTTGGCTTGGGTTGAGTTGACTTGCCTTGGCCTGGCTTGACTTGGCTTGAAGTAGCCAGTGCATTTCTTAGCCAGTGCTGCATTAACCAGTGCTGCATTTCTGCGGTGTGCTTTTCGGGGTGCATTGTACAAACACGAAAGCGATAAAAATGCTTCTTATGTTTCCTATTGCCCCCTTCACGTGGCCCAATGGCTAATGAATTCCCTCCCACAGCCCCACTTCTTTTCCCACCCGATCCCCTGCATTGAGCCGGAGGGATGGCTTTCTCCACGGTGGCAATCAGTTTATTGAATGACGTTTCATCAACAGCTCAGATTAGCTTTATTTTGTGATACGCTGCATGAGACTGTCGCCACGAAGCGGCGTGTATGGGCCGGTCAGGTGAAGTCAGGCGAATTAATATTTTTATAATGAGCCATCGCATATTGTTGCCACGGAGCGGTGTGAATGGCGGGGGGCTTAACGTGCTTCCCAGTGATGCACGCGTGATTCGTGTAACGAGTGTTGATGAAACCATTGCGTCGACGAAACGTGTGTCCATGAAAAGTTGTTCACGAATCGACGAAATGATAAAGACCCCTTTCTCCAGACTTGCGCGCCTCGTGGCTCAACTCAATTTCTAATATAACGCAAGGTGTGTTTTGGAGCACGTAATTTTTTTAAAAAAACGCGTTGTATTTGTGCAAATACGGTATTTCTTTAAGTGTTGTTCGCGACGAGTTTGTTATGTTGAGCGCACTTCTTACCAAGTGCCAGTGCTCTGCGGAGAAGCATTACCTGCGGATCTTGCTTTCGCGGGTGTTGCTTCTGCGCAGTGCACCAGTGCTTGGTAAAAATTGCACTCAACGGGGCTTACCCGCCACGATGAACACTTCGATAAAGACTAACATCACAGTTCATCTCGTAGCAAATATTGAATAGTGTATTACTTGAAACTACTATTTGAATATTTGCACAACCCTAGTGTCTAAAGCTGAGCCACACATTGATGCTGGATTATGCGAACCAAACACTCCAACCGTTTTTTCCAGTTTGTGTATTACTGTCAACCAAAGTTTAGGAGCTTCGGAACTTTGAGCCATGCAGCATAGGGCAGCTGATCAAGAGTTTTTTTCTACATAGCTTTCTCTTTTAACAAAAACACAGGCATTGTGCATTGTATAAAAGGAAATATAGTTCACAAGCACTCAAACATGTTCAACTCATCGCGACAAAACAAACACACTCAGTGTTTGTTTTCTCACTCTCTTTCATTCTTTCCTTAGGGACCACCGATGTCTACTCTTGCAGTTTGCCGCATTCTGCTTCAGTACCCCTAAGATCGAACAGTGTCGGGTCCCGTTGTAACAACATTCACTGACCTTGGGAGCAACGTTTGTGTTGCGTTGGGTGACTGTTTTGCCCTGACTCTCCCCGCAGGCATGACGGAGGAAGAGGTGACGCGTCAGGAGATAGTGACCCTGCTGTGCATGGGCGACCGCACCCACTCTCAGCTCATGGACCTGATGCCCGAGAAGTGCGGCATCACCTCCCACCACACCAAGGACTTCGAGGCATTCCTCTCGGACGTGAGCAGCTCTGTTGCTCCCCTCTCGGAACACCCAGGCCCCTCTTTGAGGGCTTGTCAAACAGTCGGTGGACAGAGCCACTGAGCGTTCGCAGAGTATCGCACATTATGGAGGTGTTCCAATGCCGTCTTTAGCTTGAGCTGTTGGTTAGGCAACTTATCATCTGCTATGAAGGGCAGTTTTGATGGTGCGCTTAGCCACAAGGCACAAATGGCCATGACCACCAGTGAGTACTCCCTATGCAGAGAGCAAGTCGTCTGCTTCTTGTTCAGGAGTTGCGGGGATGTCAGAATGACACTGAGCTGTTATTGACTGATTGAAAAAAATAGTGGGTAGACCTCAATGCTAGATGCCTTGAGCTTTACCCACTATTTTTTTCAGTCAGCCAATAAGAACTCAGTATCGTCCGGACGTCACCGCCACTCCTGTGCAAGAAGCAGACGACTTGCTCTCCGCATAGCATCGGCTTGACCGGAAGAATCGAGCCAATCGGGCTTTCTGATCGGCCGACGTCGTCCGCATTGTTGCCGAGAAAAGAAAAGACAACGAAAGACGTATGTGCAATCTATATGCATGGAAGCTCTTATCGGCAGGTGAGTCACAAGGTGTCAAAAGCTGGTAGTGTCAGAAAATTTGTAATGGGGAAACTGTATGTAAGACCATGCCACTATGTCCCTAGCAAAGTTACAAGCGATTGGGGAATTTGAACGTGACTTCTTTATTCGCTCTGATCCCGAACGAAAGAAATTGAATTCTTATCTGTCATTTTAGCACAGACAAAACTACTGAAACAGATAGTGTTGATAGCTCTCTGGACCACAAATTTGAATTGTTTTTGACACCCGGCCTCAATTCAGAAACCATTGCATAGTTTCTTCGAGAAAGTTCTGGCTGTCAATGTTCCTTTCAAGACATTTTTTTTTTGTGTGTGTGTGTTTATTAGTTTTAGTTGGCTTGTTGTAGCTGACTGTCATTAATGGGTTATCCTTATTCATATCTGATCCACATTTGATACCTAAGTCAATTTGGATAGAAACTCAGTATTGCTTGATCAGTTGATTTTGGATGGATGAATAGGTAATATGCAGTACAGACTGACTGGCTGATCAATTGAAGTTGATTGATTGTGACCCTGCACACAGGTGGCAGTGTACAAGCAGCCCAACTTTGAGGCCGGGGGCAACATGCTTCAGGGCAAGTATGTGCCCAAGGGGGAGATCTGGGAGCGAGAGTATGACCCCATTCACGTCCTCCTGAGGGCGGTCCACCGAAAGGACTACCAGGCCTCCATGGACCGCTACACACAGTTGTGAGTAGTTGATCACACCCTGGCAGCCTTGCGGGCACAACACAGGGTTCCTGTCTCTTTCTTTCGGGCACATCCAAAGTGACCGCCGGCCTAGAAAACCCCAACTTGTCAGAGTCTTTCGTCAGCTGAATGAAAGTTGGGCAAGTGCCAGGGTCCGCGAAATCTGATTTCCTCAGCTGTCTTGTGCTCTTCTTTTTTTTAACGTGTTTGTTACTGCAATTGCTATGGATGAAGAAAGAATAAACAATTAAAACGGACAACACAACTACATCTTGAAAGATGTAGTTGTGTTGTCCCTGTTTTAATTGTTTATTCTTTCTTCATCCATGACTTAAACCAACACGCTCTTCTACTAAGCATGCTATTGCTAGTTTAGCTAAAATTTTCCTCAGGCATGTATAGGAAGTATTCACTGGCAGCCATAGCTGTGTGCATGACTGCTGAGCGCGTGCTGATGGCGAGCTCCCACAGTATTTTTGTGACATGCATTTTGCACCCTCAAGATCGCCAGTCTTAGCAGCCTATTAATGTGGGCTCGTTCGGAGCATGCGCTCTAGACATCACCCACAAATATGGCACCCAGTGAACACTCCTTACAGAAGCAGATGTCTGCCTCTATACAAGGTGTTTTCCTTTTAGGCTTTACAGATTTTTTTAAAGAAAGCCGTGGAAGCTACACTAATGCGGTCTATGCAGGTGAGCTATATGGCCAGGGAGACATACTATAGGGGGATAATTTTCACAATAAATTAGACCATTAACTAAAATATTTATAACTTTTTGATTCAGGAAAATAAGCATATGGTTCCAGTTGTAGTGACTCTCATTAATTCAAACTCTAGGAAGCCACGAATGTTGCTTGAATTATCGGAAGTTTGAATTATTAGAAATTCATCTAAATGTAAAGTTAGATAAAATTAGTGTTTCTTTTTTAAATGGCTACACATTCAAATTTTGATATTTTATGATTATCTGTACATGGGCCTACTGATCGTAAGCAAGTATGCCATATATGAAAAATTGATGAAATGTATGAGATAAGTTTATTCATCCCTCAAAAATGTCGTCCATCATGAACTGTTTAGACAGAACATGACACCTCAAAGTCAAAATTAAGTTTGTTCAGCCAGCAAAAAAAGTTGCCTATTGTGGACTAGTAGCCCGTGGAGCGCGCTTCTTACCGATCACCGGTGCACTGCAGAGAAACAACACTCGCGGCAGTGAGCTCCACGGGTGTTGCTTCTCCGCAGTGCACCGGTGTTCGGAAAGAAGCACGCTCAACAGGGCCGCGAGAACAAAAAGTATGAATTACACAAAAACACTGTATGAATTATGCAGCTTATTAACAGATTAAAATTATAGTGGGACGACCAAAATTTAGAAATTTGTTTGAATTAACCAGAAGTCTGAAATATCCTAGTTTGAATTATTGCGAACCTACTGTAGAAAGTTGCTCGTCGTCGTCGAAAACCGGTGAATGAGCAAGTTTTAGAAAGATTTGAGGCACATGGGAAGCGCAGTAATGCGCAAGAGCTCCAACCCATGCAATGGCTGTGGGGCTGGTGGTGCGAAAACACGGGTAATAAAAGACAGACGAATCAGGCACGTACGGTTTTGTAGCGGCAGTTTTGTGCCTGTTGCATGAGTGGGAATTTTAGCGCACCATTGCACTTCCTGTGCGCCAAACCTTTCTAAAATTTATCCATTTAGTGGTTTTCGAAGAGCTCAGCAAGTTTGTAATTGAAACCATATGTATGCCTTCACTAATTAAAAAAGAAATTAACAAATTTGAGTTAGGTAATTGACTTATAGGGGCTATTAACACCCTATAGTATGCCCCATAGCCGTACAGTCAAATCTCGGTACAGCGAACACCACTTTAACAAACTTTTCAGATTAACAAACTTATAAAAAATCCCGTGCTGACTGCCTATGGTGGTAATGCAAAATTATTTCCTACAACATACTTCAGAATAACAAACATTTCAGATTAACGAGCACTATATTTAGCTCCACATCACGTTAACAACACCTCAGTACTACGAACTCATATTCTGAAGTGCGGGAATTCTAAGGTTTCAGTGAATCTGACAGGGCAGCCGGAGCGGCAGGCTAGCAGACGACACGGCGAGCGGACGCCTTGCAAGTTGCAACTCGCTCCGTTGAAAATGCGAGACAGCGCGAGAGCTAACAAAAAACAAACCACTACTTTCTTTTTTTTTTTTTTTTGTGTTGAAACGACGACGGGTTTTACCAGCGCAGACGGCGCAGAGCACAGCGAGGGTTCGGCAAGGGCGAGAGGGAGGCAGGGAGCACGTGCGCAGAAAATCTGAGAAAGTAAGAAAAAAAAACGCTGGAAGGTACTTTTTTTTTTTGCCTTTTTTTTTTAGGAGAAAGCGTGGCGATAACATCACTGTTTTTGCATTGACGATTTTTTTTCTTTCTTCTTTCTTTTTTTCGGTGACGGCCATTTTGCAAAGCACGCCAGTCTACGGTGGCACCGCACTGGCTGCGTCGCCGGCGATGCATTGGGTTAATCTTTATCATCTTTGTTTCTCACTTCTGCGTGTGCTCTCAGCCTTGTCAGACGCGGCTTTTTTCGGTGTTTATTGCGTCCACAAAGCAAGCCAGCGTTCGTGCTGCGGTGCTGCCGCATAAAAAAAAAACAATCTTTTGTGCTGCACGCATCCAAAAAAAAAAATCATTGACTACTTTAAATAAATGTGCATCTGATGTTGACTTGAGCATCTTTGTGAAAAACGAGTTCAAGGACCCACCGTTGTAAAGGTAGGACGTTTAAACCATTGGAAAATAGGTAATTACGGTTAATTTTGCGGTTTTCACTATAACGACCTTTCAGAATAATGAACAATTTTCCGCGGATCCCCTGAAGTTCGTTATACCGACATTTCACTGTACAACTCACCTCCACAGACCGCATTAGTGTAGCTTCCGTGGCATTTTTAAGAGCAGTCTGTAAAGCCTAAAGAAAGCACCCTGTGCAAGACAGTGCAAGCGGTGCACTTGTGGTTTGTGTGTGAACTGAGGCACGTGGTTGGTCGTCCCAGCATGCGGCAGTCCGGCAAGTTCAAGGGCACTGGTGCCCCGTGGCCCCCATTCCGGATGCCCAAGAGGGTGCACCCGGAGCTGATCGACCCCCGCAAGCTGCTCCAGTGCAAGACCATGCACGCCATCATCTTCATCATCTTCTACAAGGTGGGTGCACTTGTCGGCCTGCTTTTACTGGCTCCCACTTCAACTAACCGAAGTGAGCCGACTCTTTGGTTGAGCAGTGGGACTTTATAAGCATTCTGATTTGATGATGATAGAGATAAAAATAATGATAATGGCAGTTTATTTCCATTACAGGTAATGGTGGGGACCGAAATAAAGAGCCGTTCTAGATGGCTTGACAAACTTTCAGCCCCTGTACATTCCATAGTAGAAGCGGGGAAATTAACAAAGGTCTCGTGCAGTGAAACATGTCATAAGTTATAGCAGTCAATAAAAAATCACAGGAAGACACTTAAGGCTGCTTGCGTGTAGGAATGCAAAAGCATCTGCATTACCGTGCACTTATCAAGCACAATGTCAAGGGCGGCGTCTAGGAGGACGTCAAGAATGATATCAAGGACGATCTCTAGAATGACCTGTAGGACAATGTCGAGGACGACTTCCTAGAGATCGACGCCAAGTACGGCACCTAGGACGACTTCTAGGACGACGTCAAGGGTGGCGTCTAGGACGCCGCCGGGGACGACGTCTCGGATGGCCTCAAGGACGGCATTTAGGATGATGTCGAGGATAACGTCATGAACGCCGTCGAAGATGATGTCCTAAAGTCATCCTGGATGCCACAGCCTGCTTCCTCGGCTGTGGCGTATTTGCGTGGGTGGCCACGTTTGCCTGCGAATTCCGCCGTAGATGTAGACACTGCTGCCGATGTCAAGGCCGTAGATGTAGACGCGGTCGCCTCATCGCATAAAGCGTACAACTTAACACAGATGAACTTTGAAGCGCACCTTTTGCACATGGCTCTCTGGCGTTGACATCACGCTCCCGCACTTGAGCATAAACGGCGTGTGCTTGATGACATAATTTTATGGCCACCTTTCGGGCACAACGACGCCGCTTTTCGCGTAATGGGAGAAGTAAGGCTTTAGCCTTAATAAACATGATAAGCAGTAACAAAACAAATTGCTAGCTCTAGCATATTTGCTCACATTAAATGCACAGTGGTCATGAAGTCGAGCTATACAAAATAAATTGGGTGCATAATCGCAGCATTTTACTGACTAACCATAGAGCCTTGTCTACAGTATAGACCACTTACAACGTAACCGCTTATAGTGCAGGACCGGGTATAACGCGGTTTTTTTAAACCACCGGTTCGCCTCCCATAGAACTCCATGTATTTACATACCGCTTAAAATGCAGGCGCGCGAAGGGAAATACCGGCTATAGTGCGGTTTTTGGCACAGCCCGCCGACCGCGCCGACGACCGGAGCAGCGGGCACGCTTCCCTGTGCGACACTAGATAACGGCGCTGACGGCGCGGGGCGAGGATGTTGCTCGAAGAAGTGGGGAGAAGCGAAGAGAGAGGCTTCAGTCGCCGTAGCGACAGAGGGACGCACGCACGTGTCGTTCACGTGCTTGCGTCCCTCCGCTGCGTTGAAAACAAAGAAACAAACAACCGCACCGACAGACCAATCGCAGATCGAGGAGAAGTGTTCGCGCGCGTTGCGTACCGGTCGCGGGCCGGCTGCTTCTCCGCAAACATGGTGTCAGTTGTGATCGTCGTCGTAGACGGAGTTCATCTCATCGTTCTGCGTAAAAGCGCTATCCTTGACTGTGAATTTTCGTTGTGTGTCGCTATGATAACCCAGCACGTACTGGAAGGGAAGATCCACCTACTCGTGCAGCGATGTCGTGGCGGCGCTCTCAAGACGGCAGAAACGCCCGTGTCGTCGTGTTTGTTTACTTCGACTACAGTGGTGATTTCTAAGCATTTGTGACCTCAAACATCGCCCGGATTTCTAATTTGGCGCATTTCATGCGTGTGCTAAAGTTCAAGGTATTACTGGCGCGTACCGTATGAAGGATGCGAATTTTCACGCGTTTTCATCTCCGGAGAAAAGTGATTAGGGTTAGCAATCCTGAACGCTCGCAACGTCCGTCCGCAACCCGCGACGCCGTTAAAAGGCTGCGCCAGGCAAAAGCCGCTAATTTCTTTCAAAATGTGTGACACACTTGAGACATAACTGTACTAGTCTGGTGAAATAAAGACTTTCCTCAAACTAAGCTTTATTTTTCATCGAACATAAAATAAATTATTTTCACAAGTGTAAGTTGTCTCATGGCATGTATTTTGGCCTGAAAAATTGATGTTTTGGTTATAACGCGGTACCGCTTATAGTGCGGATTTTCGCGACTCCCGCGACATACGTTATATGCGGTCTACACTGTATATGGCAGCCTTAGCTGCCTCAGTAGTGTAACGCTTCTCCCCATGCTGGCTTCCCAGGATTGGTCAGAAAGAATTGCGTGCGTCACGATAGAGGCAGTTTGAGCTGGCTCAGTTTTTATAACGGCCAACTGTACCAAGCATTGTTAAGCACAGCCTAATGAGATTCAAGCATCATCTGGTTTTCGTGTTTCCTGATGATCACGCAACGGCAGCTCTTTCCAAAGCGCAAAGTTTGCGTCAAACTTCGTTCTGTAACTATGTCTCTGCCTAAGTTTCAAGGTCCACATCTATATTTACTTTGCAGTGCCATTTCACGAACTTGATTCAATATGCTCAAGTGATTGGAGCAATAAACCCATAAAATATTCGCTAAGTGCCCCTAGCTATACCGTCGCCATGGTGATTTCCATCACCAAAATGGAGGCCATCATGACAGCTCCCGATGCCAGGCGTCTTAGCCTGGCGTTGTCACTCTGGCAGCTAAAGCTGCCATGTACAACTGCTCCAACTAGAGAAATCGTTGCCGACATAATGATTGAGGAATTGTTGTTTTCTTTTTTTGTTTGTGAAACTACTTGGGTCTTTCACCAGCATTGACCCCATCTCGCCAATGGCTCTCCGCAGGCCCTAAATGATCCAGAGGTGCCAGAGCAGGTGATAGCCCTAACGGTGTATCTGCTGGAAATGGCCGTGCAGTTCAACCCTCAGACTGGTTCCGTCAAGGTGAGCCAGGCATGTTCGGGTCTATTCGGGAGTTTTGGCACATCTAGCAACAGAACAAAATTAACTCTTTGTTTCCACCCAGTCTTCGTGGCACCGCTTGTTGACTTCATGGCCAATTGTTAGTTACCAGACTGCATTGATGCACAGGACGCTCCACTAAAGCACAATGTGCGCTAACATTATGTTCAAACTATACTTTTGACATTGAAAGTTTCATAAAAGTACAACAGTTTTTCCTGAAAGTATGAAAATAGGCTTTCTACCTTGCATTAGTATCCTTACCAAACTCAAAACCTCCTCAAGCAAGGTTGTTGTTACGGCATGACACGACTTCTCCTCGCCAAAAGAGCTTTGTTCCGATCGCCGCATCTTCGGTCAGCTGGCCCCCCCCTTTGCGCAGGACACGCCGACGTCGGTGCACGAGGCGACGGACCTCTGCCTGTCGGAGTGGTTCCCGGATGCTTGTGTGCTGGAGAACGTGCTGCGGAGGGTGGACGCCGTGCTGCTGCCCCAGTGCATGGCCCTGGCCGAGTCTTTTGTGGAGGAAATGGAGGTGGACCAAGACGTGGACGACCTCGACGACGACGGGAGCGGCTTCGACGAGCGCTTCACCGAGATCATCGAGCTCAGGGGCTACCCCGAACTTCCCGGGAACCCACTCCCGGATCCGTCGCACCGTGAGTGGCAGCGACGTTGGGTTTTCGGTCTACCAGTCAATCAATCGAATCGTGTTTATTGTGCCTCCAAACAGCTGACATGCCTTAGGAGGGAGTGCACATAAATGAGATGAAAGACAAAGTAATATGAGTAGCGATATATTATTTGTGAAGCACTCTTCAACGTTACGGAATTACTCCAGCATTTATTTTTCTGCTCCCAAAATGCTGAAATTTTAACCTTGTGCATCTTCTGGAAGTGTCATTGAGGCGTACACTGCAGGATGCTGTTAGCAAATGGGACACGAGCACTAGAGTATAGATAAACACTCTAGGTCGCATAATTCACTTCTGAGCCAGCACATATACAGGGCAGAATTTTTTTTTTTTTTTATTTGTTGTATTATTAGTTTAGATCAAGGGCTTTGATACGAGTGAAACTTCACTTTTGCAAAAAATAAAATAACACTGGTGAACAAAGCAAGCGCACAATCACAAGTACATAAAAAAGAAACAATATAAACAGTAGGCATATACAGTTGCAACCTGAGTCACTTTTCTTTCACTTGTCACGCATACTCTGAGCCACGTACCAACTGGTAGTTTTTCTTTTCTCTCCCCACTACGCAGAAGCCGGCCCCCACCAGCTTCCCTCTTCCTCCCAGCCCCTTGCATTGCCCTCCTCCACCAGTGACAGCAGCACGGCCCTGGTGCCTCTGGACCCATCCAGTGGTGCCATGGTCCCCATCCCTTTCCTTCCCCCTCCACCCCTGCACCCCCCTTCGGACAACCAGGAGCCCCTCTCCCTCCCAGGCCCCAGCACTAGCCCCCTCTCGGCCGCACCCTTTTACTCGACCCTCCCTGGCCCCTCCTCATCTTCGGGCTCAAACCCGTCGCTGAACCCGGCCCCAGACCCATCCCTTCCCTTTTACCCGGCTCTCCCCGGCCCTTCCTCATCTTTGGGCTTGAATCCGTCGAACCCGTCACCACACACCTCCTCTCAATTCTACCCATCCCTTCCCGGGCCCTCATCATCCTCGACTCCGTCCTCGAATCCATCGCTGAACCCGGCCCCGAACCCGTCCCTCCCCTTTTACCCTTCCCTCCCGGGCCCCTCCTCGTCCGGCTCGGTCCCCGACGGGGGCAGCAGGGCCCTGGTGCCCGTCCCGGCGGGGCTGGTGCGGAAGCCGCCCGTGCAGCGTCGTCTGCTTCGGCTGGGGGCGCCGCCAACTGGAACACCCCTGGTGGCGGCCGGAGGGAGAGGCCTGGTCGTTGGTCCGAGGCTACGCCCTTCGTCGTCGTTGTCGACGGGCGGACGGGGTGGCACCGGGGTGCTTCACCACACGCCGCAGCGCAGCATCGGTCCCTGCGACGTCGTCAAGGTGGGTAGTTTGTCCTTGCGCTTACCCCAAGAATAAACTAGGTTGTGTACTTACACCTTAAGTTGGAGCGCATCCAATGGAACGAGCCAACAGCACCAACCAAGCAGCTCTAAAAACGCCATGTCACGGCGTTTGTCATCTTTCTGCACGTCCGATGTCGTAAATCAAGTTCAGTTAGTCCGCAGCGACCTTGTGCTTTCAGTCCTAGAGCACGTGTGGAACTGGTGTGCTAAGTGTCCTGTACTGCTCGTGCTTCACGAGTGATCCCAAAGCAGCGACAAATCACGTCCCGCGGGCAGGCGTGTCATGCTGTCGTATGTCGCAATCTTGGCCATTGATTGTAGAAGTTCCAGGAAAAAGTATGAGCTAAAACAAGTGTCGCTGTCGTCGCGGTATCCCCACTCGTGGCTGCTGAAGTTTTTGTGGCCTGTCGAGCTGGAGAGCCACCTGCAGCGGAACAAGCATCTGCCACAACCACCTCCGCCGCTGCACCACTGCAGGATAGTGGCAGGCGACAGCGTAACTTTTGTTTGACATTATAGGGCAGAAATCGAGGAACCGCAAATGAAACTGCAGTGAGCACACCAGTCAAAGACGCGCTCCAGGCATAGACCCCTTTCAAAAACGTGACAACTCCGTGCGCCACTGGCAACAGTGTGCGCTCTTCATGGTGAAGGAATGTTGTTTCTTGGGCCCCCCATCAAAAGCGGCACGGCAAATGCAAATAATGCGGCTCTGTTTTTCATCGCCGGCTGGGAAAATAACCCTGCTAGCTAACTTGCTAGGCATGAAACCTGAAAACAAAGAGCTCTCATCATGATGTGTCTGCAAGTCATTTTTGGAGTCCAGAAAGCGTCTAGCCGACTTAACTTGCATAAAAAAGATGCCCTCAAGGGGAACTTATTGCGATACTGTCCCAATACTGCATGGTAGCATGAAGTAAAATGGTGTTAGTGGGTGTTTCAGTTACATAAAACAGATTTTCGAAACACATGTCTGCAAAAAAAAAAAATATTCTTTTTTTTCTAGCACGTATAGTTTGTTAAAGAACAGAGAATGTTTGCAGGACTGATATGGCGGATTTCACTGCTCTTTTAACCATGCCAACAGTATCTGTCTATCGAGCAACACGAAGTAAAGGTACAATGAAGTAACAACATACTGTAAACGACTTATTTTTTTGCGGGCTCAATATTTCGCAATTTAGGTCGAAGCTGAAGTTTTGGAATAATTCGCGGGTTCTAATTTTCGCGATGCGATGGGATCTCAATATAGATTCCAATGTGTATAGATTTTACCAGAATTGTTTGCAGGGCCTATTTCTCGCGAATTGTAGGCAGTTTGTGAAATTCACGAAAATGAAGTAGTTTACTGTAGTAACCAACTCCATGCAAAATCGTGAGGCTGGCGCAAATGGCAGCATATGCACTGGGTGAAATCAACGCTCGTTTTTCCGAATCAAACGTATCTGTAACAACAATACTAAAAAAAATGCAGAGCAGTATAATGCAGAACCAATATATTAACCTCATTAAGCAAATGCGTGCGAATTCGTGAGGTTGGCCAAACGACCGTGGCAGCGGACAGTCAATGTATCCATACTGCGTGCAGACTGGGACACAGCAGTGTATTGGCATCTTCACCGATACTCTAAAGCGCATAAAGTGTCCTTAAAACTGCGGATGAAGCGCCTAAAGCTCGATTGGGGCACAGCGAGGCTGTGACCTGCTTTTTTCACCATGGCACGCAGCTGCTTACCGCCGCAGTATTGCCATGGTTACCATGCCAAGATACACTGTTGCCAGGTTCTCTGCAAAGGTTCCATTGCACCATAATGTTGATCCAAAAGTCCGAAACTAATGCATGTGAGGGCTTGCTTACAGACTTGTGACTGCTTACTACCGACTGCGTTGCAGCCGAGTGCAATCTTTTGCGACAAGAGAACAAACTGGCACCATCTGTCGGGTAAACGAAAAACACTAATGATTTTCGTTTTTCTTTTTTTACGCTTTCTGTAGAATTTTTGCTTGAGACGAGCATGAAGGTGCACATCTGGCGTTCCCTTTGTGTGTTCAATGTGTGTGTGTGTGCGTCACATACCAGGACGTCCAGGCCTCATATCCAGTGACGCACTCTCCTTCCATTTTTTCTTTGTTTTTCCGGCGTAATGAGCGTATCTTACTGCTACTACCGTACATTTCCATTTTTTCTTGCGCATCATTCTTTTTAATATTGGCTCTGAAAACTTTATACAACTAATTATAACAGCGACCATTCTTCATCAATGGTACATGCATTTGACCTTGCAAATACTTTCCAAACGTCTAGTGAATTGCAGTAGTAGGGCCACCTCATTGATGGTGCCAGTGTGCTAGTATGTTCTTCAGAGAGCCTAGATTTAAGAGAGAGCAACTTAAACCATGGGGAGCGTTTGCAGTTTAATGGCGGATGCCTCCCGCCCTAATCTGTCGCAAGTTCTACGGGACGAGTTTTCGGATGGCGAGGAGGAAAGCGGACGGAAAGGACGAGACGCTCGCGGTCGACCAACGCTTTCGACTCCTCCTCGCAGCTCGTACCGCAAACGCAACACATAAACCATGTGACCCCAACCGAGCAGTAACTCTGAAATACGGGCCCTCTAGTGCTCTCCGGTCGTGAGATGTCGCGCTGTGGCGTAAGCGGTGGCAAACGCGCGAACGCACCTCAGGATTCCGGCCACGTCTCTGCAGGCGCTGCCCCCCTCCGGTCGCCCCCTGGTGGCCGTGGAGGAGAGCATCCTGTCGCTGCTGCTCAAGCTGCACTCGAAGCTGTCGGGCAGTCCCAACTCGTACCGGCCGCCGTCCCTGGACGACCCCGGGCCCCCCCGGGAGGAGCAGGAGGTGCGGGTGGGGGACGGGCCCCGCTACCTGGGGCTTCTGCTGGACCAGCTGGCCAGGCTGACCCGGCCGGGGGACGGGGGCCTGGGCCCCGTGGAGGAGCAGCGGGGACGCATCTGGCCCCAGAGGGAGGACCCCGTCGCGGACGAGGCGCCCAATGCGGGCAGGGAGGCCTCCGACCGAGAGGAGCGGTGGGGACGCTCGTCTCGCTCTTTCTCCTTTTTAACGCGTAACGTTTATAGGGCTAGGCCTAGCACCATTCCGACGGTCGTCCGTCCAACGTGGCCTCGGTGTAAGGGTATACAGGCAATATTAGCTAGAAGACGAGGCATACGCGTTTCCAACCCCGGAAAGGCGCCGCCTAGCTCGCGTCGGCATTGCCACCAGTGCGTCTTGCTGCGTCTCACAACGAGCACGACGCTAGCACGCAGTGGCAGTGCCGCCAAGACGGAAGCGTCCGTCGCTTTGTGGCCGCTCTCGTCGAGTTTCAGCTTGTCTGCCGCCTGTGTCGGAGATCCTTAAACGATGACATCATTGGCAGGCCTCTTCTAAGTGCTATTGTTATAGGTGCCGATTTAGTAGACGGAAATCGCGTGACGTTGTCAGCGTCCTGGTCATCGCCCGACACTGTGACGTCATGTAACGCCATGAAGTGACAATGTGACGTGTCATGTGACATTGTGATGCCGTGTGACCCGACGTCGTGTCACGTAGTCAGCTGACATAAGGTCACGTGATCGCATGCTTTCCTGATGGTCACGCGACGTAACGTAAAGTGACACCATCACAGGGGACCTACAACTGCTGTGCATGTAGAGCGCCTTTTGAATATACAGTAATCCCTCGTTATAACGAAATCGCTCTTTTCAAGTTATTGTTTTTGTCGTGGTTCAGCATGGTCCCAACCGAAATGCACACATTTTTAATTGGATTATTCGAAGTGTATTGGCTGCCGACCACGCTTATTACGAAGGCTGCTGTGCTGAAAGCGCGCGAGCCTACACGGAGGCGCAAGGAGACCCTTGCATTCCCTCCTTCTTCTCCGCCGAGGCAAACGGCAAACTGGGAAAACGGAGTAAACGGGTGACAGAGGGCAGAGCGCGCAGAGCTGGCAGAGCGCCGTTTCCGGTGCCTATGCACCTGCGCGGAGACATAAGCAGGGAGCATCATCAACATTCGGACACTACTCATGGCACCCGTGGCCGACATAGCCCGACTCCTGTCGGAATCGGGTCAAGAGGAAAGTTCCTAGCCAAGGTTTCATTGAATAAATATATGATCAGAGTTTTTGCTTTTATCGAATTACCTCTTATATCTAATTTTTTTGCTGTCCCGTTGACTTCGTTATAATGAGGGGTTACTGTCCTTAAGAGACAGGCAGCTTTTTCACCCCCCTCCCCCTTTCTCTCAAGAAAGTGGATTGTGCAGTGGGCTAAATCCACAGTTCCACTTTGAATAGAAACAGCAGTGTGAAAAAAACATTACTTCGTTATATTCTACATTTATTCATTCCCGGGTTTGTTAGGGCTGGTTCAGAAATTTGCGCTCGAGTGTACCCGACTGCATTATGACTACTTGCGTTCCACTCTGACGTGTTTCACGGACCTTGGTTGCCGTAGCAACCACCTGGTCATAAGCGGTCGGAAGTGGTCATAACGTGATTGGCCACACTCAACGCAGATGTCTGGACGAGGCCTTATAGGTAAGTTTGATTGTATTATTCTGTCACTGCTGCAAGCTCTATAGCTAAAATTTTATTAAATTTCTCCATCACTTAAAACCTGTCTCTTAGGACAATGCTATTTTAAGCTGATCTGCTTGCACTGCTTGGCCCCTCGAAGTTGTGAACTACCGGATTTGGGAACATAACTGGAATACAGTTAGCTTTTCCTTCGTGCTCCAACTTCTTGTCGGGCCGTGTGCGAGGTGTAGCATCGAGCTTTCTTGACCCACAGGAGACGGCGTGCGAAAGAGCGCCAGATGAAGCTGATGGCCGAGTTTGCCAACCGCCAACGCTCGTTCCTCAAGAAGGCCATGGAGATTGGTGAGTGTGGTTCAGTTTTCAGCTGCACAAGCGAGAGACGCTGCTGGGGCTATGAGTATGCGTGCCAGTGCCCTCAGTTTTACGTGAAACAGAATCAGAGTTGCTTCAATTACATGCGCATGCACCAACACTCCTAAGAGTCTGTACTCCATTTCACGTTAAAATCGGCAACAGCAGACACTACGAGCTGTCGAAGCCAAGCCAGCTCCGAGAGCACTCCACGTGACCGATCGGTTCGACATAGCACAGCACAGAACACTGCAGTGCTCTCGCAGTGCTCGATTAGCGAAGATAGCTTGTAGCATCTGCTGTAACCCATTTAAAAAAAACACTAAAATGAAAAAAAAAAAAGACTTTTAGAGGGTTGAAATAGCATACATGCTTTTTGTACTTTTCGCAAAATTTATGTCGTTAGGTGCAATTTAGGTTGAGGCCACGGCCCACCTGAAGCCCTGCTCACAGATCAGTGGCCCTGCCCATTACTACTGCATTGTCTTAGCTGCTCAGTCGAGCATGCTCACAAGCCAAGTGTCTCCATGTCACGACGTCCACGTCCAGTGCGTCTAGTCTGGCGTCTGACACCGGATACTAGTCATGCGAGGAGATGGGCGGCAGCCTCCAGCACCATCTGCCATTCCACCGCCTTCTAGTGTTGGCTGCAATGTTCTAAGGCTCGGACATAAAGCGGCGTGTTGGCGTCTGTTATCGCCTGCATCCGTCTGCTATTCCGCCCCCATCTACAAACATCTGCAAGGCTCGCAAGACGCAGCCATGAAAGCAGCGTTCTAGCATTCCATCATGCTCTAGCCACAGTCCAATACGGTTGAATCTCGTTAATTTGAACCCGAAGGGGATTGAAACTTGTTTGAATAATGCAAAGTTTGAATTACTGGGAGTTGCCTTCTTAGAAACACATAGGATGGGACCTGCATGTCAGTTTGAATTATCGGCGAGTTTGAATTAACGAGATCCAATTTTACAACAAACAATCCAGACGTCTATCATCTCTCCAACGAGGGAGAGCTGAGAAAGGGAGCATCAAAAATTATATTCCTGGGCGGCTCATAGGGCAGGCAACCTCCACCTAAATTGCATCTAGCAATAAAAAGCATTGCTAAAAACATTTTGTTTTAATGTTTTATTTATTTATTAATATTTTTTTTCATTTCAGTGTTTTTTTAAGGTGTAGATGACTAAAACGCGAGGAACATAACTCTGCATATGTGCTCACAAAGCAGACAGCTTCACTTGTTTGAGGAAACAACAGAACCAGGACATTCTAAGTAAAGAAACAAAAAGAAATGACAGAAAATAAGTCCTCAAAGACAGACCTACAGAATCGTTTTCTGCCGGGAAGAAAACCGGTTTCCAGCTTCCCTTTCTCCCCTCCCTCTCTCCTACTCTCCCCACGGGGACGAGGCTTTGACCTACTCTCTACTGAAAGGAGGAATTCCTTTTTCTCTAATGGAAAGGAGAAATCGAGTTAGAGTTTCCTCCTTTCTGGCAGTTTGTTGGCCTTTAAGGTGAGCCAGTTATCAGAGACTGGCACGAACTGGGTGAAGTGCTTGAGTCCGGAAACGGGAAGGAAGAGATCCAAAAATGACAAACAAAAATTAATAAATTGAAGTTCCAGCTGTAGGTTTGCATCTGGGTGTTAAAATAACTGTCAGAAGGATTAAAATTTAAAAGGGTAAAATTGCGAACAAAACGAGGACAATAAAGACACAAAGACGACAGGACTTGTGTTGCTTTGCTTCCGGGCAACTGAGGAGCTCGTGTTGAAGAAATAAGAACTACCAGACAAGTGGCTCCGTGCTGCTGCGTATCTGTAAAGTCGCCAACTGAATTGCAAACAGACAGTGAGAAGTGCCTGAGCAGTGAGGATGAGGACAGTCAGAACGTAAACTGATATTTCTTCGATTTCCATTTTCTTTTCACTTCTGCTATTCCCCGGAGTGCAGTAACTTTATGCGGCCTCGGCTCGCGCTGTAATAGATATCATATTTTCTTCTTTTTTTTTTTTAGGGCATTAAAATCTGCTTTTGCGTTACATTCGTGGTCGCATTATGTTCGTGCAAATATGGTAGAATAACGGCAAGGAGAAACAATTTTACAACAAACATTTTACATGTCAATCATCTCTCCAACATATGAGCTAAGCACCTTTTGTTATGGTTGGGGCCTAGAGCAGGGCTGGTCACATCTAAATTACATCTAACAATGTAAATATTGCTAAGAAAAAAAATTTCTGGGCAACTATTTACACAAAAAAAAAATGTGTGTCTCAAATAAAACCCATTTAAAAACTTTTTTTTTTAATTTCTGTTTTTTTAAGGGTAGAATGGAGGTCTCCAGCTCGTGTGCCAAATATACATTTAAATAAAGAATATCTATGGCGTTGTTATTACTCTAGTATTAAATATTTTAGCATTTATTGTTGCCCTGGTGCATGCAGAAATCTTTGGTTTGGGCTGGACTGGACTGCTTTCGTAATGCCGCAAAGCGGTTTCCGCCGTGCCCTTTTTTTCTCAGTTTGTTTGGCAGTTATGTGTTTTTGTGTTTTCATGCAAAGCCTGTATCGAGTTTCTTAAGAGTCTTGCTGCTGCTTTCCGGCGATGTGGAAAGGGACCCAGGCCCTATGTCTCTAGCCCAAATAGAAGAATTCAATAATCTTAAAGACACTGTTACAAAACTTCAGGCGAGTCATTCTACGCTTCAGCAGGAAGTCACTCAGCTTACAGAGCAGCAAAAGCAGTACGAAGCGACCGTTTCGGCCCTTGAGGAACGCGTAGACCAGCTCTCGAGTGAACTGAATTCCCGGAAAGAAACGGGTGATTGCGATACATCTACTGCACCTCACCTTACGGAGGCTTTAAACGAGCTGTCTAAATTAAAAGCGCGCTGCGACGACGCGGAGGGCAGATCCCACCGTTCTAATCTAATATTTTTCGGAATCGCTGACACTGACAAAGAAACTTGGGCTCAATCTGAGGGTTTGATCACAAGCGTGTGTTCCGAGAAACTCGGTATCAAAGTTTTATCTTCCGGAATTGAAAGAGCTCACCGTTTAGGAGCATTCCATCAGCAGAAAATTCGTCCCATCATTGTCAAGTTTTCTACGTTCAAAGAAAAAGAGGGCATTCTTGGTTCTGCGCACAAGCTTAAGGGCTCACGCGTTGCAATTAGTGAAGATTTTCCACTTTCTGTAAGGCTCGCACGACGTCGTCTTCTTGATTTTGCCAGACCAAAGGGAACGCCTTTTCGGCTGCGTCACGATAAACTGTTCATAGATGGCAAGTGTTTTGTGTTCGACGACGCTATCGGCTTGGTTATTGAAAAATGTATGTAGCAATGCCAGCGTTCTTTGCGTTTGCCCACTCACAATCAAACTGCCAAACCCCACGTTATCAATAAGATATCTTCTATTCATTCTATTTTGTTTACTAACATTAGAAGCCTAATCCCAAAGAGAGATGATGTGGATTCCTTGATTCAAACATGCAACGCCGACTTTATTGTTCTTACTAAGACGTGGTTGAATCCCGACATATCAGATGCTGAATTGTTTCCTTCTTATCCAAACTTTCGTGTGTACAGGTGCGACAGAATTACTAGAAAGGGGGGAGGCGTACTTTTGGCTATTAATAATCAAATCACGTCTCGGCTCATTCCACTTTCTACCACACTAGAAGTCGTATGGGTTTACCTCCCTACGGCGCCCTCTGTTGTACTGGGCGTATGTTATAGGCCACCTGATAGTAATAAGGAATTCACCTTTGAGCTTAATAAGTGTCTTTCTGAACTCGCTACTCAATATCCTAACGCTTCTGTTGTACTTCTTGGGGATTTTAATTACCCGAATATTAATTGGTCTACCTTCACATCCACTTGCACTTCCTCTCAAGAATTTATAGATCTTTGCCTAGATTATAACCTAACACACAGCCTACTAGAATTGCCGACTGCTGCAGCAATATACTCGACTTGTGCTTAAGTCAGGAGCCTTCTCTTTTTAGCAACGTTACCTACTTAACAGGAATCAGCGACCATCTTGTCATCGACATAACACTCTCTCTCACTGTTCCTCGGAAATCACATTATTGCAAATACATTCGCGACTATGCGAGGGCCGACTATGTGTCTATCAACTCATGCCTCGAAGACTTTTACCAATCATTCTCTGTTAATCTCGAGGAAAGAACCGTCAAAGGAAATTGGACGCTCTATAAAAATAAGCTATCCCACTTAGTTGAACGCTTCATTCCATTGACCCGCATCATATCAGATAACTGTCACCCATGGTATAACAAAACGGTACATAGTCATGCTAACAAGAAAAAGCGACTTTATAAACGATCGAAATCTGTCAACAATTCAGCCTCGTGGGATGCATATCATGCGTGTGCTAGAACATACAAAACCGCCATTGCTGATGCTAAAATTAAGTTTTATACTCACGACCTCCCCAACATTTTAACAAATAAACCCAAGAAGTTCTGGAAAGTGGTCAACCCAGCTCTGTCTCTTCCATTGCAGTTCATAAACGACAACGGCATCCCACTTTCAGACGAAGATAGCGCTCTTTACCTTAACAATTTCTTCACATCAATCTTTACTAAAGAAGACTTGCTAAACGTTCCCGACTCATGCCCATTAACTCACCCCCAGATGAATCCTATCATAATTGACCACGCAGGTGTATTGAAAGCAATAGAAAACCTAAAGGTTTCTTCGAGCTCTGGAGACGACCAAATTAATTCGAAGGTATTAATAAACACTAAACACATTTCCTCTGTTTTTCTCTGTGACATATTCTCACAATCGCTCACGCTTTCCATAGTTCCACGTGACTGGAAAATAGCTAACGTAACACCTGTTCACAAAACTGGTGATCGCCAACTAATAAGTAATTACCGTCCCATCTCTCTCACCAGTGTTCCATCTAAGCTCATGGAGCATATACTTTACTCAAATATAATAAACTTTCTTGACTCTCATAACCTTCTTTTTGAACATCAGCACGGATTTCGTAAATCTTACTCTTGTGAAACCCAGCTAACCGCCTTCCTTACTGATATCTACTCAAGCTTTGATTCAAATATTCAGACTGACGCCATTTTCATTGACTTCTCCAAAGCATTCGATAAAGTACCCCACCAACGTCTTTTAACAAAGCTTAACGATATTAATATTCATCCCTCTGTTGTTAAGTGGATTTCTGAATTCCTAATTAACCGTAAGCAATATTCCTCCGTTAACAACGTAAAATCTCCCACCTCTACCGTAACGTCAGGTGTCCCCCAGGGAACCGTACTGGGCCCCCTTCTGTTCCTAATCCATATTATTGATCTCCACCTTAATATCGCTTCTTCTGTGCGCCTGTTCGCCGACGATTGTGTCATTTACCGACCCATTCTTTCATACCATGATCATCATGCTCTCCAGGAAGACCTAGAGTCTGTAATCCATTGGTGTGAAAAATGGCAGATGACATTAAACTTCAATAAATGTAGATCCCTATCATTTTCCTGCAGTTCGTGTGCCACACCATTTTCGTATTACCTCTCTAACACTCAAGTAATAGCATGCTCATCTTATAAGTACCTGGGTGTTCGTCTCTCCTCTAACCTATCATGGACTACTCACATAACTTCTGTTATTTCTGATACTAACCGTTCTCTCGGATACTTGCGCCGTAATCTTAAACTTGCTACACCCTCCATAAAACGACTAGCGTATACTACTCTTATAAGATCGAAATTAGAATACGCCTCATCTATATGGTCCCCATGGCAGTCCTACCTTGCAAATAATCTAGAATCCGTCCAAAACAGAGCCCTTCGTTTTATTTATAACAACTACTCACCATATACCAGCGTATCAGGATTACGCCAATCAGCTAACCTTCATTCACTTTCCCTTCGCCGCCGAGTATCACGCCTTTCTCTCCTCTATCGAATTTTTTATCACAATAGCCACCTCAAAGAATCACTGCTATCACCTCCCCATCGTATTTTCCCGCGTCTAGATCACCTATGTAAATTACGTCCAATTCGATCATCAACTGTTTCTCACCAGACTTCCACACTACCATTGGCCGTCGAGGTTTGGAATTCACTACCTCATAACATCGTTTCTATTAATGATACTACTAAATTTGTTGAAGCCATTACCCTCTCTTTATCTAACCTACCTAGCTAGCTTACAGTGTTATAATTGTGTTTACTGTTCTACTTGTTTTTGTTCTATTGCCACCCCCTTGTATAATGCCCCACGGGCCCTCAAGGAAAATAAATGATGATGTCTACTTTCCCTCTTACGTTAGAGGGAAAGAGGTCTGGTCCACTTCCAAAGACGCTTCGCTCTTGGCGCTCTGTTAAAGTTAAGGGAATTTATGACTGAAGATAATAAAGTATTCCAGATTTCAGTAGCACAGAACTGCAGAAGTTGCTGGCCATGTACGTTAGGAGGTTGGGAGGTACAAACAGTGCCTATTGCAGAGGGCGAGGAAGGCGACCCGTCGGACGAGTACGAGCGGAACCCCATTGTGACGGTGGCCAAAGAGTATGAGTGCATCATCTGCAGCCAGACGTCTTCCTCCACCGAGGACAGGCCCATAGGCATGGTGGTGCTCCTGCAGGCCACCAGCGGTGCGTGTCACCCCTCCCCATCTCGCACGGGACACCGTCACCGCGGTGCCTTGCATGCGTCTCAGACCGGCATGTCGGGCGTGCCACACCGCCCACGTACCGTAACGTCCCCAATACGGCAACAAAATATGTCGGAGGAGCCGCCGGTAAATGCTACAGGTCATTGCGGTCCCGACGGTTGGTCTATATTCGTGCGCCCTGCTGAGTGGCGTTACGCAGTTGTGACGGGCAGAAACTGAGGATGCAAAAGGACGGCGGGTAAATACATTGGCCGTGGACGCATTTCACGTCCTGTATCTTTGCAGTCAGGTTCATTCATTACGTTAAACGCAAATTAAAAGCAAATGTTAATTGCCTCAAAGTGTGTCGCTTGTCCACTCTATCCTTTATTTAATTTCTTTTAAGGGCCCTTCTTAGGGGGAATTGCATAAGGGGGGTACATGACACGAGAGCATAAAACAGTAACAACGCCATAAATGAATACATGGTAAAAGACAATGTGACTATCGCCACGGTCGGAAGGTAATGACACAGAGATTAGTTTGGGTATGTGCGGAGAACAGTGACGGGGGTGACATTGAAGAAAGATATACGTATATTGTTGAGCTGCCAGCTACATTTTCTTGCCCACAGACAACTCGTGCAAACTCCTCCTCACTTTCTAGAGCTAACGTCTTTCAATTTTTTCCCTTTTGAATTGCTCTCAATGGTACTATACATGATGGGGAAAACAGCTCAGAAAACACAGACTGTGGAGAAGAGCAACAAACACAACAGGACAATCCGTTGTTGTGATGTGTTTGTTCTTTGTAATGCATTTTTTTTTTAGTACAGCATTGTCTTGTCGTGTTTGTTCTTCTTCGTAGTCCGTGTTTTTTTTAGCTGTTTCTCCCATCATGTATAACGTCAACCAACTGGCCCAGTTCACTACCTTATTACTCATTGCCACGTTTGAAATGTAACAACCTAACAACTGTTCTAGCTTTTTTTTTTGTGTTAGTTAACTTGTAATTTTATATTTCGTACACCCTTGAGCAAAGCCTCCTGTGGGCGATTTAAGGGAGCAATAAACGAATGAAATGAAATTGAAAGAAATCCTCTTAGAGAAGTCTACAGTCTTTCCCACTGCTCGGTTACTCCGGTCCAGTGGATGGAGTCTAGAAAGTAGGCTTTGTTGTGTGCCTGTGTGGAGCCCGGTTTTGGAACGTGGCTCCTCCCCCCAGTGCTGGGCCACGCCCAGGAGGCGGAGGAAGAGGCCCGCAAGCTCCCCTGCACGGACGAGGAGCGTCTCCTGCTGCTCGAGGACTCCAGCCGCGCCGCCCACATGAAACTGCGCTTCGACGGCCTTGCCCGGCACTTCGACGACGTGAGCACGCAGCCACTTTGCACTCCTCCAGAGTGTCCTTGCCAAGAGACCCGAGTTTGGGTCAACTTCTAGCTAGGGGTGTAAAGAGGGGAGCAGGACACGACAAATCAAAAGCACTGACATCGCTGGTCCCGAGAGGAGAGCGAGGAAAAGAGTGACGGAGAAGCGGAGAAAGAAAGCAGACAATAGATTACGCATGTTCGTTTTGCCCCTACTAGTTGAAGCTCTTCAAGTGCTTGTCAACGTTATTTATTTTTATACAATCTGTGACACCAGTGTTTTCCTGCAAAGAAAGCTAGAAAGAGACTAGATACAGTCTTGGCGAGTAATGTTTTCCTGCTTCTTTTTGTACTATACCAAGCGTCGTCTGTAATATGGTCCCAATGGGACCACCGATGTCCGCGTCTATGCCACGTCATTTCGAAGTGGCCGAAATGCGTGGGACCTTTCCCTCTAGATCATTATAGTGGCTCTGTGTATGCTGTTAGCAGCGCGAGATCGTCGGCAGTCTGCAGTCACACGCACCCGGCATTTATTGCCCGGTGCATGGGTGTGGGGATAGAAGTTCTGGGCACAAATATCTATGGTTGAACATTAAATCTGCTATGTCTCTAATTAGATGACGAGGGTGAAATGTAGATTTGTGCGAAGAAACATTTAAAAAATTTGTGAATATTCCTCTAACACCGTAACTTTATTAGCACGCTTCATTTCCACGACCTTATTTATCATTTTTGATTATTCAAAAAGCTAGAATACTTCAAAACAAAAAAGTGTTCTGCGATTTGAATTGAATAGCCAACATTATGAGGTAAATCATTTTAAGTTTCAAATATTTGCACACCTCAACTCAGCTACCCTCTGCTGAGCCATGCACTTTTCTTCCAGTCCCAAAGTTATGAGTGACATAATTGGGTCCACAGTATTATCAGCGACATTATTGGGTCCGTTCTTTGTCTCACCCTGTCGTCTTTCCACGTCTTGCACATGGGAATGGCAGCACTCGTGGTCCCAGTCGGTCAACATTGGCTGGGAAGGAGGGGTGCACGTCCAGTCCTGCGGTCACTACATCCACGTGGACTGCCACAAGTCATACATGCTGTCACAAAAGGTGAGACCCCGCTTAAGATTGTGACCTTGCATTGCCACGGTTCTGTTGTGACCGCGCCAACGACGTAGCACTGCCCGTTAACGAGGATGTCGGCGACCTCAGTTATTTCGTACTTCTGCTCAGCAGACTGTATCTCTCGGTATTTTCAAGCATTCATATTCTTTCTCATTTATTAATTAATTAGCTTTGCCCATTTGTTTGCTTATTAAACTTTGCCAGTGCATGGATAGTGTAAAACCCTCCCAAACAATGTGTCACGAAATGTATTTTAGAGGTAATGAAATTCAACATGAAACAAAAACACCTACACCTTCCACCAGTCTCCTGGCTATTCAGGAATGTTTCTTGAAAAGTGGCTTTCTAGGCAACCTTTTTTAAAATATTGTCTGCATCTGTTTGGTAGTTTTTTTGTCTCTTCTTGCAGCTTAAGAGTGAGTAGTAAACGTAGGGCTGAGAACGACTTTGTGCCAGAAAGTACTACCCTTTTCTGGCCCAGAGTTTGGTTGCATGTGTCTGCCCTTGCCCCTGTGTTTATCTTTCCCCCCAAGTGCTATGCTCCGTTTCAACATAACTTGGCAAAGGGCTAACGTTACGTGGGAGGCCTCCGTGTCAGGAATGGATCCCGACGGCACATTGTCAGGTGCCTTGCTCCAACGCTCTGGTTTGCTCGCCGGGACTGTACTTCACCACTTGGCACATTATACTGCCAGGGAGGATAGTGGTAACCCTTCCCTGCATATGCATCTCTCCCTTTTGCTTCTCCCTTTGGGACATTATTTCTGTTTTAAATCCAGAACATTGCATTCGGAATTAGGAACCGTCTTCATTACCTACATAATTACAATTGTGCGTTTTAGTAAACAAAATGTTTTAGGTTGTGTTATGAGGTATCTGAGAGTTAATATATTCTGTGTCTCTGTGCTTGCGTTATATTTACTCGTATTAAAAGCTTGAATCCTATTAATATATCTTTTTATGTCAATATGTTCCATAGTGTGTGCTCTTCCATGTCTGGTTAATATGTACTAATATCATTTCCGTTTTCTTCATTTCTTTTATCGAGCTGTACGGTCATGCAATGCCAAATGGCTTTTGAGGTGTTTTGAATAAATAAATAACTTAGAAATTCACAGGGACTCTTATGTTACCCCTAAGACGACTTAAAGGCGAAAGCGCCGATGCGTTAAAGACAGACACGTGATTTACTCAATTCACTTTGATTCCTCTTAATTTGCTTTGTCATCCTTCTTAATTTCATTGCCTCTAATTCGCCTTTGTGATCATGTAAACGTGATAGCAAACCTTTGAACACAGCGCGCTCTGTGGTGACGCACTTTTGGCGCCGTTTCATTGGTACCACTCGTTTTGGTACCACTCGTTTTGGTGCCTTTCATATCGCCGACGTGTTTTCGCTCAAGGACTTTGACAGTTGACTGAATGATGAGACCTATAAGGCTTTGGCCTTAATAAAGCTCGTGAATTAAGGCGAGTAGAGAGAGAGGGTGTCATTCCCCGTGCAGAGCCAGCAGAGCCAGCGGCTGCAGACGGTGGCCGTGGAGCGAGGGGAGTACTGGTGCCCCCTGTGCCGGCAGCTGGCCAACTCGGTGCTGCCCCTGCACCCCGAGGAGCAGGCCCTGGCCCTGGCCCGGAGGGGGTGCCCCCCCCTGCGCACCCTTGCCCACGACCTCCTCACCCTCCTGGGGCAGGTGCCCACCCCAGTAAGCGCCTTCCCAGCACTATCCACTGCTTATGAACCATCTATTGGATGTCTGGGAAATCTTTCCAGCAGTTGTTTTAACCGCAAAAATAGCTACTCATCACCGAACACCTGTTCTCCGCCCAAACTTAGCACTGATGGTGCGAGACCAGGTGCGAGAGTTTCAGAGCTCGCCGTTATCCGATTCTAAAGTTCCATTTGTCTATGTTTGCAATGTACAATCCATCTGTTCCTGCATCTGTTCAACTGTTTGTTGCTCCACTTATGCACTTGTGCATGTGCTTATCTGCCTTTGCATTCGTCTGCCAGTGTATGTATCTGTCCCGATGCGTATGGTACTGTCCCAGGTGCAGACTATCCTGAAGCCGATGGCCTCGTTCATGGAGGACCTGACCAACACCACCTTTGGCCAGTACCGTTCCCTCTCCTCACAACACAGCACCTACAGCCTCGTGCTCTTCGTCTGCTCCGTTGCCAGGTGCGCGAGCTCCCCTCCCTTCCGTCTTGGGCCGCGGCTTTTGCGCCGTTGTTAATATTAGTACTAGTACTAAATGTTGCAGCATCTGTTGTTCAAAATAGGCCTTTGGCAAAGCATGCAGCTCCAACCATAGAACCAAAAGGAATGCTGGGAACTGCCTGTATAATTCTAGCTGCAGCAGACGACGGAGGTGACCTTGTAGATGACAAGGGAAGCGGGCAAGGGCAGGCAGGCTACTGCGCTACCCTCTCCGAGTCTTTTTGATGTTATGTTTTAAATGCTGCTGGAGCGAGGGTGTTCCCATAATTAATTGCATCCTTTGCGCACGGTTTCTTGCTATGTTTGCAACAGATCCAGTGGACACTGCCCTTTCTAGAATCACTAAACAGGGCAGACTGCAGTCCATTGAAACCCTCGGTCAACTTTATCAGATAAACTCAGTTATGAAACTCCCACTGAGGGAAGTACCCCCCTCTACCCCTCAGGCCCACTACCCTTCATTTGGAGCGCCACCTTGAGGTTGCGTTTAAACTATTCTTCGGAGACGCTACGGTGAAGCACCATCTAAACGCTGTGCTTCAGAACATGTGCAACTGTAGTTTCCGTAGCAGTCGTCCCCCCAAGAAACGGTGGCACGTTAAACGACGGGAGGTGGACCTTGGGGGAAGGAGGGAGGCACTGCTCATGGAAGCGGCATCTATGGGCTGTTGCGTAACTGAGTTGATCTAGGAATGTAGCCCTCTGTGCACTTCAGGATGGAGCCGCCATTACTGTCTGTCGTAAGTTTCCTTGAGACGCAGAGCTGCTGAAGCTGGTGACAACTACAGAAAGCATATTGAGGTGACGGGAGTACTGTGGTGTCTAGGAAGCCAATGACAACCTGTCACATGACCTTGTGGTGATGAAGTGAAGTGACCAGGGTAAAAGTGAACAAAAAGTAGGAAACTAAAGGGCAGTTTTAACTGCATCTATGTGCACCTGCATAGAAACACTGATTTGGAATATATCCAGCCTACATCGGTCTACTTTTCCACCCTTTAAGGGACTTTTACAGGGTATTTATGCTTGCCAAGGTTTTTATTTGTACAAGTCATTCGAGAGCCCAACTACCCAGAACGCAATTTGTGGCTTGAAATTTGTTTTCTTTCCTCCCGAAAACTGTTGATCGTGAACTGACTGTTTTCAGTCACGCTCACTCTCTTCTGCGTGGTCATGTGGCGTTCTCTATGGTTTAGACACACTCACCAAATATAATCAAAGTCATGGGTCATCGAGGGCACACAATCAGTATTAAACATAGAAAAAAATATGGTATTCATTTTTCGTGGCTTCTAAAAACCTGCAAATATGTTGATTGAAAAAAAAAAACGTTGCACAGAGAGTTTGTAGCACTGTGTGCATTCTCTGCGTAATTCCCAACTTGGTGTTGTATCGTGGAAGTCGCAGGCTGGACGACTGAACAAAGTGGACTAAGCGATGGCGGCAGACGTTGGGCGTAAGACCTCTACTTCAGAACAGTTGTTTGCACTATCAGTGAATCTGTCTAGCTTTGAAAAAGAAATTGTTTATCGATCAAAACAAATAGGATTTATGCCGTACCACACGCCCGACCACCAAGATGATTCGCCTAGAAGACGTCGTCGAGTTGTCGCCCATTTTCCTGACTGAAGACATTGCTCGCCTTATGAACACAAAAGATAAGAAAGCTTGAAAATGTGCAAATGTTGAGCATGAAATGCTGGACTTTTGCGTTTGTCATGTGACATGCACATTTTTCCTCTGCTTTGCACGGCCAGAAAAATGAAGAGAAGAAAAGAAGGAAAATGTGGTCGGGTGTAGCCACATGATTTCCGGTAGCTCTCTTCTCTACATTTCTTCTTCCTCCCCAGTCCAGTTTTGTATTTGCTTTCGAGCAGTTGCATTTTTTTACTTTATAAAAAATATATGTGACAACTTAGCGAAACATTGATTGGGTAGTCTTCTGACACAATATTCAATCTCCTGGCAAAAAATTTTAACAAAGTTTTGGGAAGTGTTAGTGATTCTTTAACATCCAGCTGGGCAGTGCCTTCCGCCGCTTGTTTGTCTACATGCTTACAAACGTTGTTCAGTCACATAAGTAAGTAGGCACAAGAGAATTAAAAGATGTGGCCTGGAGTCTCTATCTCTTTATAAATGGTTTATGACCGTCCTTTAAGGGGGGACACGGGTCTTAAAGGGGCCGTGCAACGATATTCGTTTGGAATGATTTTCACTTTACGCGAGCTTACAGGCACTAGCGGGACCCAAGTATACTCACACTCAACGCCACCGACCAAGAAACTCCTCTGTTGCGGTGGAATTTCATTAACAAAACCGAGCGTTTTCTTTCAATCTCTCTTTCGCAAAACTTGATGACTTAACTGGGGGTCCCAGTATCCCCCAGTGGTGGTATTCGAACGCGGCTCGTAGATTGGACCTGAGCATAGCGTGAGCACTCGATTTGGGCTCGGGTTAATCGATAGCTCGAGAAGCATTCAGGTAGTGGCCCGTGTCCAATCGCTGCAATGACGACAATTGCCGAACCATAACAATGTCTGGGACTCAGCGCATGTATTGTGCTTTGCCAATGCGAGCGCATGGCTATGATCGACATTGGCAGCATATAACCGGTTCCACATCACATGGCTGCTTGTTCTGGCTGCAGGTTGAGGGGGTGAACGGTGCTCGTTTTTCTTTAATTTTTTCTGCAACTTCTGTTGCATGTGGTGAAAAACAAGCGCGTGTTTCGTAGGTCATTAGCGTCAGGGATTCAATCTAAGCGGTATTTGCACAAAGTAGAAAAAACATTGCATCACCCCTTTAAGATAGTAAAAAATATCTAAAAATGTCATTTTTCAGAAATTACAATTTCGAAGCCTTCATGGTCCACAGTATACTATCCTAAAATATGAATGCTCGATTTGGTTTCTAAATATTAAAAAATGGTAAGCGTTGAAGGGCCCGACTGAAGCCATCTTGGTCTTGTTTGGAAGCTGGTTTCCCACGCTTCGTCTTGGTGCGCTTCGAAGTGGCGTCAGCATCAAGGTGACGACGCCGTCCATGCTTTTCGGAAAAGTGTAAGCAGAGCTCGAGAGACACTCATTGTTTGAGCCGAAAGCAACCATCTGACTTCATTCAACAGTGGAAAATTTCGAAGCTGAACATTTTTGTTTATGATATGCCTTAGAGGTGAGAAGAGAAAAATAAGACACTGAGAGGCACATATTGTTATATTTGATTATATTTTATTATATTATATTTTGTCCTTGTCTTGGGTTTAGTATTGTGGATGTTAATCACCAGCTCAATTCCATTTTTTACAGTTTTTTGTATGAACACAATTTTTTTTTTTTTTTTTCTTTCTGTCCCCTTTTTTATTTTGGAGGGTTTTGGCAAAGGTGTAGTAATCCGTTCCCCCTCCCTTTTTTGTGCAGAACAAATTTGGAGGCCGAGATAGTGTATCGAAAAGGAACGCTTTGCTCGCCCCAGGCTGTCAAGAAGTCCTGTTTTGGTGAGTTGGTCCACTCTCCTTGCTGTCGTCATAGGTGTTTTTTCAGACATTTCTTATTTAACCCTTTGACGGCTGCGGTTTTTTTCCCCAAAAGATGTTTCCCAGTGGTCCACTTTTGTTTGAAAAAGAATAGTATAAAGAAAGGGTCAATGCACAGGTTTTTTTTTTAATTATCTAGCGGGAGCACGTACAGTGCTTGCAGGCTGTTGAAGTTTACAAGCATCAAAGGAAAATTTTGAAGGCGAAAAGTTCTCACCTTTTTTTCATTCAGTTTCTTTTTGGTGCATCCACTTCCACGACATCCCAGCAGCTTCAGATTTCTAAACAGAGGTACTTTACAGAACTTCTTCGTCGGATGATGAGCTCCCATTTTCTAACTTTAATTCCGAAAAGCATTGAAAGTCTGAATCGGAAGAGGGGCCAGTATGCTAAGTGAGCATCACATGCACGGAGCAACTACTAATTTGAAAACATAAAAAGCCCAGCAATGCAAAACAATGTGCAAATATAAACTTTATAGTTCACCAAAGACACAATAAATTGATACACCTCCCACGGTGTGCGCAGTTTCGCGTTTAGTCGGGCACTTTCAAATGTGTAATCACCGCCATACATGTACGGCGACGACCTTCAAAGGGCTAAGCATTTGTCTCTTTATGGTTTCCTTGCCCAGTTTATCACCTAGAAAAGCCGAAGTTATCTTTAGATGTTGTAATTTTTTTTTTTTATCAAACCTACAATTTTTTTACGCTTTTTTATATTTTAGAAAACAGCTGCAGATCTGCTCTTTGTGGCAGTATATGTAAAAAGTAGTCTCAGCTTTTTTATATTTTAAGAGAAGTCAAATTTTTATATTTTTTCCTGGAATAATTTGTATTTCCTTAGGAATGACCCTTAATGCAAAACTAGACCGTACAAATATGCTTTTAATGTATGATTGCTTAGACAGAGATAATACTTAAGAAAAGTCTAGTGCTTGATTCCTCGGTTTGATGGATGAAATAATTGATCGACCTTGCAAATGAGTGTTGACGTTTGAGATTGATTTCTCGATTAATTGAGGAATCGGGTTCGGTAACGAGTGAGCTCTCTTTAAGAATGATATATCTGGTTATTCCCTATTGCTTGACGTTGGTTACTGGAAAGTAGTTTCTGAGTTGGATGAATGAATGAACTCGGATGATTGGGCGCTAACTTCAGAGATTGGTGGGTTCTGAGTGGAATGTGGGAGCGTAGTTGCAGGGTGCCCCTGTGTTTCAGTGCCCCTGTTCCACGTGCTGTCCCTCCACGCCAAAGTGCTGACCGAGATGCCCCACACGCGCCTCTGGTCTCACCTGACGGGACTGAGCCTCGACGACAACCCTTCTAGGTCTGCACCTTTCGCTCCTCCTTTCAGCCTGGGGACATTTGAACCCTCTGCAGTCAAGTCTTTTTGTTTTGTTTTCCAAAAGATGTTTTCTGGTGATTGGATTTCCGAAGAAATAGCATAAAGAAAGGGTCGATGCGCGGGTTTTTTTGTTAATTATCTAGTGGGAGCGTGCACAGTGCTTGAAAACTGTTCAGGTTTAGAGGCATCAAATGGACACATTAAAGTAAAAAAAGTTGTCGCCTTGCTTCTATTTGATTTCACTTTAGCGTGTCTGCTTGTGCGACATTTTGATGGTATCAACTTTCAAATTAAAGGTACTTTCCAGAGCTTTTCCGTCCCGGGGGGGGGGGGGTAAGCTCTCATCCTCTGAATTCGATTCTAAAAAGCTTTAAAAGTCTGAATCGGAAGAGCCAGAGCAGCCGCCCTGCAAAGCGTCCATCTCGGGCATATCACGTGCTTGGAGCATATGATTTCAAAATTATAAATAGCCCCAACAAAGCGAAGCATAGTACAGATGAACAGGCGACTGTCAAAGGGTTAAAGAGTTAAAGAGGCACTGCATTGTCAAAAACATTCTTAACTGGCTAAACATGAACTCATCTAGAAAAAAAATAATAAAGTCAATGCGTATAGGCTGCTACGCCTATTTTAGGTGTGGAGCAATATCATTCGCTTGTATCTGCCAGCTCGGAAATCACTTTTATTTGGAGATCAACATCGCAGCGACGTCAAAATCAAAGTCATTTTGTGAGCTTCTCATTGGCTGGCAGCAGGAACATAGAGAAGTGGTGGAGAGAAAGATGGTCGGTACGCTGCACCCATGGCTTCGTTTAAATTGCATATTGCAATGTAAATATGTCAGGGTTGCTTGTTGTTGTTTTGTTCTTTCAGGTTTAATGCTTTTTGGACATAGGTGGCCTATTCAGACAGTTTTAAAAAAATATGTTTTTGGGAATGCAGTGTCTTCAAGTCATTTTACTCGTTTGGATCGGCAAAGCTGTTTGCCAGAGCTGCAGCAAAGGGGTTTGGCTTTTAAACTTTTAGTTGGTCAAGCAATTTGGTGAAGTTTCAACAAACCATGTCGAAACTGCTTTTTCCCTCGGTCTCGCCCTATTGTTGAATATGGAAAAAAAAGCCATGTTTGTGTTCATGGTGTTCATCTACAGGTGATTTGCTAAAGCTAGAACAAAGAGGTTCAAGATTTGAACTTGCAGTAACCAATTCTTGCGAAGTATTCTAGCGAAGCCTGAGCTGGGCATCCTCTTCTAAATGTTTGTACAACTTAAATCTTTGAAAGCCAATTTGTTTTTCAATTTGCTGCTAGGTTTTTATAGTATTTTATGGAGGGGTATAGCTTTGAAAGGTCATCTACAACTAAAAGATTGACACATTCACTTACTCAAACAAAAGCTTTTGGTGCAGTCAGTCTCATAAGTTGTAAGTTGTGCCCCTAATAATTCCAGTAACCATTTGAGCCAGAAATTCTCCAAGCATTGAATTGGCATGTGGGACTGGTTCACTGCTCTTTCTTAGCAACTTGCCAGCTATGTGGTTTGTCACAACCTGCCTGACCCTCTCTTTGTCCAGTCTAACGGCCTTGGAGAAGGAAGTGCCACTCGTGATGCGGGATGTGTCGGCGATCCTCCTTGAGCTTCTGCTCACCCTTCCCATAAACCTGGACAAAGGTAGGTCTCTCTCGTCCCTAGCACACTGGATGCAATGTCCCTAGCTGAGGTTTTGTGGTCAAAATCACCATGGGCATTCAAACTCTACTGAGCAGCAGTGTAATCAAAGCTATGAGATGTGCACTGTGCACTTCAGAGTTTCCACAGAGAGTTGTGCTCACGTACGGTACACCACCGACCCAGTCAGTGGCGACGTCAGGTCAGCGCCGTGACTAGGTTGCCAAACTGAAATAATGCCATTCTGTCTAAAATAAAGCAATACCAAAAAGATATCTGCATATTTTTGGCACAGACAAACACCTGAATAGAATTGCACGTGAGTTTATGTGTAGGGCTTCTGGTTTATATGTCTAATAGAGGATCTGGGATGAAGAATCTACTTTTTTAATGTTTGCTAAGGTTCATGCCGATTCTGTCGTAGTGAAAGACAACCCCCAATTTAGTGCGTTGAGCCCTGTTGCAAATTTATGCCAAAAACGAAAACCCCAGCATATGTGGCAGCGCAGTGAGACAGACACATTTTGATTCATCGACTGCGATTTTTTCAGCATACTACACCTGCATCGTGCGGGTACTGTACGTGCTGCACTATGTTCAAGTGCTGGTGCAGCTCAGCTGCAAGATGAGCCACGACGCCAGAACGCGCTGGAAGCACCTCAGCTCTCAGGTGACTGTTGCCCACTCACAGGCAGATGATGGTTGAAGCATTGTCTTATTATTTTCTGCATCTTGTTTTACATAGAGAAGCCAGCTACTGCATGAAGGGATTGTGGCTTTCAGAATGTGTGGGGACCCTTAATTACTCATTATCTAGTACTCGAAGATCGAACGGATTCTCGAAGAAATAAATAATGTGTGATTTCTCTATATCTTTATACTTAAGAGGGGACACGGGTCTTGGGGCCCAAAATATTTGCAAAAAAACGATTTTTCATTTTTATTATTTCTGAATTCTTTATACTCTCTTGCATATATTGACCAAACTTGACGTCCAAAAAATGTGTCCGTTTATATAAATACGGTTATTTATTAGCTGAACAGGCGGGGCCCGCTCGCCAAAAATGCTCCAAACTCCTTGACATTGCACCGTCCGTCATTTCGAAACCAATCGGCAGAGCACCGCCATCTTGGTTTCGTTTCAAAGAGCGTCTCTTTGGCTTGCTTTCCCGCCAAACACGAGCGGCCTACGCCCCGCAGTAAAAAATATACAAAGCAAAACGCAAAAACGAATGAAGCTACGCTATTGGTCCTTAGCCAACACGTGACGAAATGGCCGCTTCTGGTTGGAGCACGACTACTTCCGGTGACTTCCGGTCCAAAAGTGGGCGGCACCATCTTGTCAAAGCCGTCGCTTCGCGCTATCGTCGCTATGCCTAACCCTAGACCAAGCCCGCGTCGAAAATTTCGAACCGTGCATAAGTTCGGAAAAAAGCGCAAGAAATGTGCGACGCGTCGGCAGGAAGGGTTGTCGCAATCAACGGTGACGATCGAAGATCCCCTCGCAATGACGGAAAGCCAGCCGACGACAGAACGTGAGCCGGCGAGTGAGACGGCTGCCGCGTCGGCGGTTTCGGAACCGCCCGTCTCCCCCGTTCCGGACAGCGGAGGCAGACGGACGAGGATCGACTCAACGTTCCTTACAAGTAAAGATCGCGAAGTTCTCCAGCGGCAAGCAGAAAAGAAAACCGCCAAACTTTCGTCGACTTCTGCTACAGATCGCAAGATGAAGATGCTCGCGACTGAGTGTGATGCTGCTCCAAGTTCATCACCCCTGACATACACGATCATCGATCTTGACGCAGTGAACAGTTTACTGGAACTTACTGCGTGCCGGGTGTGCCGCGGATCAGTGAGCATTGAAAGGGAGACGCATGACTTCGGGCTAGCTGTGAAACTGAAAATGCACTGCAGCAACTGTGGCGATATTGGATCCGAATGGAGCTCGCGACGAGTCGGGGGCGAAGCGAACTGCAACCCCTTCGCGATCAACCTCCTCGCGCCGCGTGCTATGCAAGGCAGTGGAAACGGTCAAACGGCACTAAACGACATTTTCGCTGATCTGGGAATATCGCACAGAGGTCTCCATAATAAGACCTTCCAACACTACCTGAAGACAAAGCTACACCCAGCAGCTAAAGAGGCCTGCAAGAAGTCTCTGACCAAGTGTGCAACTGCAGTGAAGGAAGTGTATGAAGAACTGAACTTTGGAAATCCGGGGAACATTGCCATTTCATTCGATGGGACATGGCACACAAGAGGACACTCATCCCGCATAGGGGTGGCCACAGTGATTGAGCTGTTCTCAGGCTATGTTCTGGACTATGTTGTGCTGTCGAATTTCTGTCTTGGCTGCGAGTGTGGGCCACAACCAGGGAACCCAGAGTATGATGAATAGAAGGCTCGGCACTTGTGCCAGAAAAACACGACACGCAAGGCAGGTCAGATGGAGGTTGAGGCGGCACTGATTCTTTTCAGCGCTCGCTCTCCCTCCACGGCCTAAGGTATACAACAATGCTTTGCGACGGCGACAGCAGATCCTACCATGCCATCGAGGAAGCCAAGGTGTATGGTTATATTGAAGTAGAAAAAGAGGACTGCACAAACCATGTGCAAAAGCGCATGGGAACCGCACTCCGCAATCTCGTGCAAAAGCACAAGCAGGACGACGGAGGGTGCACCAGTGGCAAAGGACGACTCACTGGAGACCTTATCAGCAAGTTGACCAGCTATTACGGCTGGGCGCTCAAGTCACATGCTGGCAACGTAGACCGAATGCACTCAGCAGTGATGGCCACCTACTACCACATCACTTCAACTGACGAGAAGAAAAACCACAGTCTGTGCCCGAGTGGTGTGGATTCATGGTGCAAGCACAATGCCACCACTGCAAAGGACGAGCCCCCACCAAAGCACAGGTACAAGCTACCAGACAACGTCAGCAATGCACTACTTCCAGTGTATCAGCGTCTTGCTGACAAAAGGCTCCTGCGGAGATGCCGAAGAGGCAAAACTCAGAATGCTAATGAAGCACTGCACTCCGTCATCTGGAGCCTAACGCCGAAACACAAGCATGCATCACTGTTTGCTGTGGAGACGGCAGTCGCGGATGCCATCATGCGCTTCAATGTCGGAAAGCAGCAAGCTACCTCGAGCATCCTGCAAGAGTTGCAACTTGACCAAAGCTGCAAGGGCGGTCAGCGGGCAGTGGAGAAGGACTGTCACCGCAGTGTGAGGGCAGCAAGGAAGCGTGCAGCCTCGGCAGCTTTCCAAGCGGCAGCAAAAAGAAGGCAACGAGGCAAGCCTCACGGAGATTACTCCCCGGGAGCATTCTGAGCTGCCTGCATGTTTTCTGGGCGTGTTTTTCATTATATTCATTGATGTGTCTATGGTCGTTTGTTTTTTGTCTTTTTCTCAGATAAAGGTTTTTGTTACATGCAAGTTTTGTGCAAGTCGTAACTTCTCTCCTACTCACTGGATTCTCATCATTTTTGTTTTGACTGGGTGCTGGCTGTGCAAGGAGTGCAATAAGGGTATAACATTGTGACTCTATGTACCAAAATATATTGAAAATTTGAGAAAACAAAAATATAAAGAATGAGCACTTATTGAGTCGTGGCTTTGAACTTCCATAACTTTGGATAGAATAAAGATAAAAATGTAAAACCTCCCTTGTTGCACTCCTTAAACATTCAGGAACATACACATATATGTTTCAGACATTTCTCTGCTACATGTACTTTCCTAGCCTTCTCACAATTGCACAACTGGAGAAAGGCTCTAAAACGTGACCTACTTCGTCTAGAAGAAAAATAATTGCTTATTTGAAGTCAGTCCACCAAGTTACATGTAGCCTGAAAGTTATTTCTTTATACCCAGAATGCTTGAGCAATTTTTGCTCAAGCCCCAGGTCTCCCCTTAACTCATCCATTGTGCTCTTTACACCCATTTGGACCTCAATTTCAAAAATCTATAGCTATGGGTTGATCGAAATTTGAATTCAACTTTCGGTAACGTTCAGCTCTTCATTGCTTACAGATTGCTTTTTGTAAAAGAATTCATTCGAGCTTTTGAGTTGTACAGGATTCTTTTGGGTCAAATTTAGTGTGCTTTGCCTACATCAGACCCCCAGTGATGTTTTTAAAAATTATGCTTAATCGATGCAGTCTTTTACTATATGCAAAATATCATTAAAATTGCCCGAGTGATGAAAACTTGTTTCTGATGATGATAAAACTGCTTGAGTGATAAAGACTTGCATATTTTTATTGCATATTTCGCATTTCTTCGAAATTATTTTGTTTGATTACAGTGTAAATTATTTATGTGGCACTCTAACTTTGCTCATTGTGTGCTGTGTAGTATCAGAAACCACCATCTGCACATTTCGTTTAGTATAGTCACCCGATAGATCCAGCTGTTGCCTTTCAAAATCATTTTTCTGTCTTGTTCCCCCAGTATTCCCTAGAGTCGGCTGGAGCGGTGCTGGGTCAAATAGTGGACCACCTTGAACACAGCCCACTCTACCTGGACGACGACGACATCGATGCCAAACACGTGAGTGTTTGCCATCCTTCGTGGCAACGGGGCAGAGACCTGCACCTGTTCATTCCTTGCGCGTAGGGAACAGGCCTTAACTCGTACGACGTCAAAACGGTAGCGACAGAAACGTTGGGCATCTCATTGTAAGAACATCGGGGTTCTGATGAACTACAGAGACTGCTCCTACAATGCATCAGGCTATAATTTGGTCAAAGGTTTTACGGGGGCGCAAGAACTCATCAAGCTGCAAACATGTAGCATTTTTCTCTAACCCCCTCATCACAGATGCATCCTTTGGGGCAAAATAAAACATTATAAATGATTGATTTTACTCATTTTTACCTTAAGAACCACAGAAAATGTTTGGCTCATTGCTAGTTTTATTCATGATCTTTACTGTTTACACAGTTAAGATCATTCATTTGTAATGGTCAAGACATACCTATTTTAGAAGTAAAAAGTGTTATCTCTTTTGACATCTAAATTTTTTAAAGGGACACTGACACCCCTCAAAATTTATTTCTTATTTTTTGCCAGGCGATTTATTATAATATCAGAAGACTACCCGATCGAGAAAACGCAACTGCCCAAAACCAAAACTGGACTGGGAAGGAAGAAGAGATATAGGGATGGCAAAAGCCACGTGGCTTCGATACTTTTTTTCCCCCAAACAACGCATTTGTAGCTTCTTAGAAGACCCAAAAAAATGGGTATCACATTTCTTTTCTATTTTTAATATTGTGTGCGTGCCTTCGATGACCTACGACTTTTATTATATTTGGTGGTTGTTTCTAAACCTTAAAAAACGGCCCGTGACAACGGAGAGGAGAGTGAGCGCGACTCAAACCATCCAGTTCTCGAACGGCGGTTTTCGGGCGGAAAGAAACTGAATTTCAAGCCGCAAATTCCGTTCTGGGTAGTTGGGCTCTCATGTGTCACGTACAAGTAAAAACCTCGGCGAGCATAGATACCCTCTCAGTGTCCCTTTAAGAACTACTTTGCTGGTGTACAAACTATGAGCAAAAATCTTTTTTTTTTTATTATTTGTTAGATGACAATAAATGTAATTCAATGACATAATCTTAAAAATGGGATGGTGCTTTTTGAAGTTGGTACACGCTGAAAGGAAAAAAAAAAGTAAAAGCCTCGTTTTGCGTAAGCACCAGTGAACTGTACCTACAGGGTCACTGGACTTGTGGACTTGTTTACTTTTTAGTACAGTGACGGTGCTAATAACCAGTGGCGTAGCCAGGGAGAAAACTTAGCACCCCCCCCTCTTCCCCCTCCCCCTCCCCCCCCCTCCAAAAAAAAATCCAGCCGAACCTATATTATACACATTCATTTGACCCTGGCCCCCCCCCCCTAACACCCCCTGAAAACACTTCCTGGCTACGCCACTGCCGGTAACCTCCGAGCACGATCGGGAAGAAGCTGCCACACGTTACATATGATTTTAATTCACCAAAGCAAGGCAGCACGACAGTTAAGGCACCTTTCCTCGTTGCCGTGTGCAAACAGTTGCACCCTTGGACGTGAAAGTGAATCGACAGTTTTGTTCTGCTCCCTTGCCAGAGGTGCCAGGAGTGGAGTGAATCGGAGCTGGAGCAGAGGTTGAAAGAGATGACCACTCCCTTCCTGAGGATGGCCGCTCTCACGCAAGCACACCTGTACGACGAGCAGCTGCCCCTGGTCACGGTATGTGGCACACCCTCGGAACGTGGCATACCCGCTCGTTCCACCACCGGCGCTGTAAATGCACTCTCATTTTGTAAAAACGAAAAGTTACAAAATGATTGGGAGTGAATGCTCTGGGCCCTGGCTAATCTGGGTACAGTACATCCTCTAGTAGTCGGTGGAAAGTGCAAGTATATACAGTCGAGCCCGGTTATATCACACTCGGATATTTCGAATTATTGTTTATATCAAACAGTCCAAACATTCCCTCGAAAATCACATGTAATAGTATAGGAGCATTGTCTTTTTGTATCAAACTCCCATGGCGGGGAGGTTGATATAGCGAACGAAGCATGGCCACCCTTGCTTTTCGTGCGATCTGACTGGATCCAATTGCACGGTGGCAAGCACATCGCTTGCCTTGCGTGGCTGGCAGACCAGCAGGCCAGCATACAGGCTGCAAGATAACGCTACGAAAAAACTGTTTTAAAAAAAAATATTAAAAAAATAAATAAACCTAAAAAAAAAAAAAAAAAAAAATTGTGGAGGTGGGCGAAAGCTAGGGGAAGGGCACGCGCGCACGTGTAGGAAGAGCAGGGAGTGCCCGCTGTCAGAACAGTAACCTGCGCCCTTTCCCCGAACACTGCTGATGCTGGTTGACTTTGGTGGTGTCAATCAATGGCTGCCGGTGGCGACACTCGGCCCCAGCTGCCAAGGCCGTCTGCGGTTTATTCTACTGAAGTAGAGATCAGTGTTTGATTGCCTTATCTTTGTTTACCTTTTTCTTTTGCTGTTATTGCTTTGCCCTTTTTTTTCTTCCCTTTTTTTTTTGTTGCCTGAATTTAGTGAGCTTTCTTTTTTCTTTGTTTACCTTTTCCTTTTGCCGTTATTGCTTTGCCCGTTTTTTTCTTTTTTTGTCTTTCTTTGGTTTTGTCTTTCTATGGATGAAGAGATTTTTTTCTGTCTCGCTTTTCAATTTTCTTTTTTTTTTTTTCGTTTTTTGTTATTATTTCTGTGTTTTGTTGTTTATGCTGTGTGGAGGCCCCATCCAGGTGCGCATGTAAGCGCTGCACGGCAGCGTTTGCGGGCTCGCTAATTTTGCTCTACTGTATTTAGCGGCTCTTGGATGCTCTGTTTGGGAAGCTCCTGTTTATCGCGACCTTCGGCATTAACAGAGACGCCAGAAAATTTAAACTCGAGCTTAATTATTGATGTATCGAACTATTTTACGATCCCCTTTGAATTAGTGATAGTATCAGAGTTCCACTGTACCGTAAACGACTTAAAGGGGCCCTGCAATCATATTTAAGCGTCTACCTTTTTTGCGGTTTCCATGTCCCTTGGGATTCGGGCAAGCCACCGGGCACGGAGAGAGTAACTAAATATATGTGCGTTGTATTTTAACCGGACGCCGCGGAAACCTCCTCCACCTACGAAGGCGACCCGCGGTGCCGAAAGTGCGTGGTGTGTGATGTCTTCGGTCCTGGGCTTACTGCTGGTCAGAGCCACTAAAAGCTTCTTTTTAGTCGAATTACAAAATATGAGTGGCGCAAACCGTTTCAATTATTTATAAAAGTAGTCTTTGTTCAGTATTTTATATCAGAAAAGAAACAAATGCAGTTTATAAAGTACGGAAACAAGAAATGACCCGTCGACATACCCGCCACCAAGCGGTGGAAAAGGTGGCGCATTCTAGAAAGTTGTAGTGGAATTAGGCACCGACAAGCGGCGAGCGTAGGAAGGTCTTGGATGTATGCGGCGGTGCTGCGGTCGTATACGGGCTCGAGGATCCGACCGGTTCCGAGCATTCTGAAGGCCTTCGGCGAGAAGGTTTGGCTTGTGGTTTGGCCGTTTGGCGGTAAGCCAGTGCGAGGTGGGCTCCCATTCTGAACTGATCTTTACCCCATGCTTGCTGTCGTTTGTGGCCAATGAAGTGTCATGCCGAATTAATGTTTAATTGCGCAGCAAATGCAATGTGAGTCGCCCTGGCTGCCCGCTTCATGCAGCCTATCCAGTGCATGCTTTAGTGGCACCCTCTCGAGCTGTCGACCCGGAGTGCGGCAGCCATGAGCGCTCAATGAGCTCACTACCCCTCCTCTAGTTCATGGCCACTCAAACGACCAAGGACGTCATGAAGGAGGTTATTTTTTGCCTGTTTTTGTAATTTTAATTTGCCTATAACTTTCGAAATAAAGCGAAATTCGAGAAAAGAAAAGGTTTATTAAGTTACTACGTTCACTGCGCTCAGGTTCGGTGCAAATTAAAAACCAGTAAAAAAGTCCTTGCGGGGCCCCTTTAATATTTGCCAAGACCTCATTTTTTGCAAATTTTGCGACTGGGGAAAATATTGCAAAGAAGTTGGTCCCATATTACAGAAAATTGCTAAAAATTTGTGCCTGAAAAATAATCCTGAAACCCACAGTCTAAAAAATTTGAGAAATGTTGAGTCCACAAAATCAGAGTTGTTTACGGTAGACCTTTTAAGGAGCGAAGCTCCTTAGGGTCTAGCCTTGTCCGGCATCCGTGCTCACATCGATTGCCATCCTATCTGTCTTCTTAAAAAAAGAAAAAATGTTTGGGCAGTCGACAGGATTCGAACCTGTGTGGGGAGACCCCAATAAATTTCTAGTCCATCGCCTTAACCACTCGGCCACGACTGCGGGACGAGTAGGGGGCTCTGAGATGTGGTAGTAACTCAAGAGCTGGGGATGTCATGGATGAAACGTTGCATGTAGCCGCTCAACGTCTATACAGGAGAGGGCGCTGCGGTCAAATACGTATACAATCGCGTTAAACTTTGCATCTATTGGCTCAACGTTTATAGACGAGAGGGCACTGCGGTCAAATGCTCAAATGCGTATATAACCACGTTCCATACCACACATTCTCTTTCTGACATGGACCGTTGACTTAAGCGGTGGAGATGCGTTCCCACGGCTTCTAGCGGATCCAAGCTGATCTGCTAGAAGAACCACTGGCTTGCATGTCGCCGACCATAAAGCAGTAATAATGAAGTCGAAACACAATCCGGAACTCAGCACTACCTATGAGTAATAAAAAAAAAAAAAAAGGCAGCACCATCAGCACTACCTATGAACAATAAAATCAGTATCATCAGTGAGACCAGAGCTTCGCCCCAATCAACATCATTCACCACGTGGAGATGCGGTCATTTTTTATTTACCCTAATCCCCAGCCACATAGTTTGCATATTCGGAACTATGCAGGACAAAACAAGCGAGATATTTTCTACTTAAAATAAGTGAGAAAAAAAAATGCAGAAACAGCGAAATAAGATTGAGGGACGTTGAGTGTGATTCAAACGTTAACACCTTCTGTAGTCACTGACAGGATGAAAACTGCATCTCTTTGCGATGCCCAGTCTCCAGTCTCCATTGGACTATGCCCACGCGGGCATAGTCCAATGGGCTATGCCTGCGTGGGTATGAATCCCATCCTCGTCACGAATGTTAAGTGTGAAGTAATCAGGAGTCCGATTACTCTACACACGAGTAGTTTTACTCTGGTCGCTTACAACTGCTGATCTTGATGGCGGCGTGACTGAATGTCCAACATGCACTGGCACGCACACTATCCCATCAGAACCCCTGCTGCCCTTATCCCATCAGTGACTGTAGTGGCACGGCAAAGACTAGGGAGTTTTAGAATAACGTACGCCATTTTAGCACACGCTAGCGCTAAATTCAGCGCTTGCGTTAGCGCACGCTACGCAAGAGAGTTTTAGAATAGCATTTCAGTGCTGTGACAGAAAAGCCCAAACATCTCGCGCTTGCAACGCCACCAAGATACGGTCACAATTTTTATTTCACACATGAAATGCTGTAACTTGAGAACAAAACATCTCGTAAACCCTGAGATGGGGAACGATAAAAAAACCGTTCCCCATCTCAGGGTTTACAAGATGTCGATTAATTACCAGCTCGCCTGCACTCTCTCACTGCTTACAAAAAAAAACAAGTTTTTTTCTTTATCCAGAGCAACATTTTAGATTTGTTTAAACGTGAGAATGCGACGCGAGCGGTTGACCGGTCGTGTCCGCTTTCGTCACCTTGGCCAGAGAGGTCTCGTGTAGTGGCCTTAGCACATTGTACCCTCGCCGAGAAATGTTTGCATCGCAAGCATGAAGTTGCCGGTGATCGTTGCCAAACCGAGTGCAATGTCGTCCTGTATTGAAAATCGCAGTTGCGAGGATGCCGCCGACGTCGCACACATGACGACGCCAAAGCGGCCGCAGACATTGCCTGACATGGTCCTGGGAGTTTCCATTCTTTAACTGTGGTCGTCTTGGCTGTAGCCAACTTCTCATGACCAATCCTTCTTGGACGAGCGCAAACTCTTTGTGTACGCACGCAATTTCCGAAAAATAGCGCACGCAAGGCGTAAAACGTGGTTAGCGTTCGGCGCATGCGCAGTGGCGACGACGCTATTCTTTGCGTACGTAAAGCTTTTGCATGCGCTATTAGAGAGTTTTAGAATAACGTATGCAATTTTAGCGCGTGCCAGCGCTAAATTTAGCGTTGCATTAGCACACGCTACGCAAGAGAGTTTTAGAATAGCGTTTCTCCACAGCGACGCAAAGGCCCAAGCACTAATCTCAATGACAATCGCTGGATCGCGCTTTTCCGCTTGTTCGCTGCAGCGCAATTGAAGCCACCGGACGGCCATCTTGCTTGTAGACAATTTGCGGTTTTGCTAGCGTTTTGCTGCGGTTTTCCAGCGTGCTATAAACACGTTTTCTGCTCGTTCGTCATCATTCGCCGAAGTTTTTTAAGACCCTGTGTAACCGTTGAGACTTGCCGTTGTGAACACACGGAAAATTTTACGAAAGCACAGTGCTGCAGGAAAAAAGCAAAACTCGTTGAAAGTAAGTTTTGCCCGTCTTGCGGCGTGTTCAAAGCTTCCTTGGCACGCCGAAGTGCTGCGTCTCTGTGCCTTCGCACGTTTGGATACCGATCAAAAATCGACACCGTGCGGATGTTTTTTGCGAGTGCAATATGCGT